GGAAATGGCAGCAGAGAAATGCTTTCCCAGGTCCCAGAGCAATGGAGTTGAGAAGTCCTAAAACTCCTACATCCCAGAGCACAGAATATCTGCCAGCTGTGGTAGCTTTAGGCAAAAAGTGTACTACTTCAGTTTCTCTTCCTGAATTTTGCCCAGGCCTTGGAGACTCTGGGTCACAGAAAGGTTAATCCACAACTGCCTTTACACCAGCCAGCATTTTTATTTTAAAAGTGTTTCTGCGTCAGTAACTTAATGGACATAAAAATCAACAAGTCTTTATGCATGAGCACTCTTTGGGCTTGATGCTTTTGCTGTACTTCTCAGCATTTTTCCCTTAAACCAAATGCACCATCTGCTTGTTGCTTTGGACATATGTTACACATGTAAACATTTTTGAAAGGAGTAAGTAAATTTCATGGCCTGCTAGTGATTCTTTGGTTTTGGTGTGGCTGCAAAAAATGAAGACCAAACATTACAATTTTTGTTGCTACAAGTTGGAACTACTGTTTGGGCCCTTTATGCATCTGCTGTTGCTGTGTGTATGGAGCACAGTGGGATATATGACACCCAGGTTTCTAAAAGTTAGTCAAATTCATTCTGTTGTCAAGAAGTACATAAAGTTCTTATTGACCAAATTGAACAGACACTGCACAGTTTTAAAGGAAGACCTATGAGCAATTTAAAGAACTGAGCTTAGGAAAAACAGATTCCTTACTGGAGAATAAATTCAGTTGCCACTCTAATGGACCTTTCCCATTTAGTTCTGAGTTTTATGATGGGAGTTGACAAAGTACAAGAGAGGGAATATTCTGTTAATAGCAAATTAACTTGCAAATGGTGCACAGTATAAATGCCCTTATAAAATACTGTCATCTTGGGTGTATTCTTTATGGCTAAACCACAGGAATGGTATTTGCACACTGAAAATTCCTGCACACTTTATCATAATATCTGTCAGTAACTAAGATTTTTTACAGATTTGAGGGGCTAGGGGAGGATACCAGACGAGGTTTTTATTGTGATGACACAGTACTGCAACAAAGACTGGAAGTCCTTTTGGATTTCTCTCTACCAATGCAGAAGGGACTACAAGTACAAACAGTACAACAGTTCTTTGTTTTAATACTTTTCATCATAAATAGAGTAATTTACTCCAAGGTGACTTTTAAAAGAGTGGATTCCAGCAATACAAAATAATAATTTCAAAATGTGCTTCCTGAATTATGCTGGCCTCTTATGCTAGAACAAATGAGAACAGAGATCTTTTTCTGCATGCTGTGTCTTGGGACACTCATACAGATTGTAAGAGTACTGCTCCTGCTTTCTATAGAACTTCTCTTTTCAAATGCCATGTGTCATGTTCCCTTTAAGGAGACTATTCAGAGCAGATAATTGTATAAAACCATGGTGCTTACACTTTGTTTAAGCTAACAGGCCTTATATGCATATCTGAATTAAACTTACAAAGTAGTGGGTTGAGATGGTTTTCAAATATGCATGATTGAATGTCATCACCATTAGCAACTGTACTTTCATCGATATGTCTTTTTTTTCATAAACATAATCTGGGTATTTGAAGAGTGTCCTGTGTTAAATGACAGTGTGAATTATAAGTGGGTGTGGATAATGGGAAATCACATTTGTCCACGGCTTGCATCGTGAGCTGCTTTGAGGAAAGACTGGGTTTCTAAAATTCCATCTTTTGTTTTCTCCTGTGGACACCATTCTTCTTTGTAGCTCTCCTCTCTCACACCTCTTTGCAGCACTGACCATTAGGGCACTAGATGGAGCCCTGTCATGGGCTGCAGGGAAAGGGCTGCAACAGCCACTGTGCACAGCTGGAACATCCACAACCTTGGCAGGGTGGGTCTGTGCCCCTCCTCTGCAAGCAAGAAAGCTGAGAGCAGCTTTTTAGGAATCCCTGGTCAAAAAAGTTGCCAAGAGCCTGGCAAATTTACATCCTACCAATTTAGGAGTTCATATTTTACAGAGGGGGCTGGAATTCTTGTGTGAGATTTGTTTAAAGGCCCAAGGGGAGCATGTTACTTTGAAGCAAATGCACAGGGTAATAATAGAATACACAGCCTACATAGGGAGAGGCTGTGTGTTTTAAAACCAGGTACAAATAAATGTTTCAAGTTTACTGCCAATAATAACTAGACACATGACTTTGTGGAACAACTTACCTGAGGCAGTGTCTTTGTGTATAAACCATTTCGTGTTTATGATGTAGGTGCTGATTATAAATTGTCTAGAAACTAGTTCATATAAAATAAACAGAGCATTCAAAATTGAATTAACTACTACAGAAATACTTGGGTGGGGACCCAGAGGGACTGAATATCAACCTGACAGGGTGATCAAACATTTAAAAAGGGAGTCAGAAAAGGCTTTTATTTGGGCACCACTCTGGGTTGTTATTCATGGCTAGCACTCAATAAATGCCTTTGTGTGCATTGTTGTAGTCATACTGGACCTGCAGAAGTGCATGTTTGTTGTCTTTATAGAGGTGTATTAATGAAACAAGTGCAGTCTGAAATTCAACAGCTGCCCAGAAAGGAGACTGGCTAGCTGACAGTAAGCAGAGGCATTTGCAGCCTCCAATAAAGACATGAAAAATCTATGCAAGGGGATAAAGATGGAGAACAAAGAATCTGTGAACAGTTGGAAGTGATATTGTATAGATTGAACTCCAGGGTCCCAAGGCTCTCAGAGCATCTGACCAAGGGGAGCATAATGATGGAGATTATGCATCACTGCTTGGATTCCATACCTGTGTATGGATTGAGGGAACTTTTGGCTGCTAGTGGGATGGTCTGTCTGTGTTGCTGACAGCTGCTACCAGTTCCAATTTCAGTGACACAAGCTCTTAAATGAGTACTGTCAGGCCATGCACTTGTGTGGGAAGTGCAAACTGGCAGCTTATTTGAGCCAGAAGTGATTTTCTGTTATTAGTGACTTTGGAGGTGCTGAAGACAAGGTATGGAGCTGATTCCACAAATTGGGCCTTGGGAGACAATTAATTCCTTGCTCAGATGTCTCAGAACCAGAACATCTCCCACTGAGCAAGGGTGTGACAGCCCCAGAGAGAAAAGCAGAAGTTGCAAACAAACCTACCCCATCTTAGCAGCAAACTATTTTCTACTGCCCCCAAAACTTGCTTCTGGGAGGAAGGGCTGTTGTATCCTCATGCCAGTGACGCCTGATTTTCACTTGCACATTCCGAGTGTTAAGCTCTGAGTAAACCCCTTAACATGGGCACACAATGCCTGTAAGTGAATACAGCCTGTGCAATCCAATAATTTATTAAACTTTCATCTTGTAAAGCCAGTTACAAATTAAAAAAGACAGAGGAAGGAATTCTATAATAGAAATGAGCAAAATTACAACAAATAGTAGTGAGAGTTATGTTTCAAGTGGGTTCAAGCTGCCTGCAGCAACCCAAGAGCCAGAACACAGAGCTAGTGCAGAGTTAGGACATGGATAATCAAGCCTAGTCTGATACATTAGAGATCAAGCCAGTGTATGCAGTGTATACAAAGTGTTGCTTCTCAGGTGGCCTCTGCATTCCTGTTCTCTCCCATCTGTGACCTGGTCATCTTTTAATTCCTTGTGACAACAAGGGGGTGTTGGTGGGCTCCATCAGTGATGCTATTTAAGGCAAAACTCCAGGTGAAGGGATGATGCACAGCACAGGCCACCCTCTTTGACTGATTGTGTAGCAAGTGCATGGTGCATTTGCACATGCTGCAGTGTAGTGGAAATGAGAGAGGAGCAGGGGTTATGTACAGTATTTCTTCTTGTACTGTCACCTTCAAAACTAGTGCTCTGCAACACATCATTAGTAATATTGGCACAATTTGATGATGAATTGGAATGGAACCTGTTGCATACTAACTCCTACTTTACTATGCAATTTCTGTTTCATAGCTAACAGGCCTTAGCTGCTGCTACTACAGAAATGGAGACAGCCAATTTTAAATGTGGCAGGCCCACATTACATACAGCTCTGCAGTTTCATGGGCCTTTGCATTCTGGGATACCAAGACTAGACAAGGGTCATGGAAAATCGCTCACCACCAGGTTTCTTGTTTGTTAATGCAACTAATTTATGCTGGAACTGATAGTGAATATTGTTTTAAACAATTAAATCAACTTTCTGAAGTAAAAAAACTGAAGATTAATGTTTTTCATAGAGAAGAAAAAAATTCTGCTTCTTCAAATTGCAGGTAGCTATAAAAACCTCCAAGAAGCAGTTGTTTTGGCAAAACAGAATTGTTTTCAAGTTCTGCCGAGGACTAAGGACATAGAGAAGACTAGATGGGGATGTGGGGATTCAGTGATGTGTGAGCAGTTCTTGTTAAAAGTTGGGATGGATGCAGGATTTGGCTTTTGCTTACTGCAGTAAAGAGGAAGTAAAAATCTTACCTGTAACAATTTATCTAGGCACCTATTTACTCAGTAGGAAACAGTTCACTTACAACTAAGTTCAGGGAGCCCCGTCACCTAAAATCCCCCCTAAAGAAAGAAGGATCTTAATGCAAGCAAGCTGCTCAACATAAATCTCCAACCTCCATCTAATACCTGGAGTTTGTGAAGAGCAGCTCTTCTGGAAATGCTACTAAAACCATCTCCTCTCATGGGCTGTACAGGAGAACAGCAGTCATCATTTTTTATGCAAGAGGCACCGCTTGCAGTGTGACCTTAGGACCTATTTCAGTGGTGCTAGTTCCAGAGGTTTTCTCCCAGACTGGAGTATTTAATAGTTTAACTGAAAGTGCCACTTTTACAGTTGTGTACCTGTGAACTTTTATTGGAAGGTAAACAACCACCTTGGGTGTTTTTATTTGTTTCTTTGTTTAATGCTCCCTCGAGTAGGGTTTGACCTCTCTGTTGGACCACTTGACTTCAATTATACAAAGGCTTTTTCTTTTTAAGACCAGATCAGATTGTTAGTATATCCTGAAAAAAAAAAAAAACAAAAAAAACAAAACCCACAGTGATTTATATTTTAGATTTGTTTGCAAAATAAATAAATATTCTTTCAGCAGACCATGCTGTGATCACATGATCCCAGATGTCTGCATGTTCAAAATTCTTAAGGAAGCTTAAGTCTGTCTCCTGTCCTGCAGAAATGATCCTTGTAAATTTTTCTGCCAGTATGACAGGTGATAGTGAAAGCAGCAGAGAGGACACGGAGGAGGAAGATGCTTCTGACTTTGCTTCTTTAAGGTACATTGTTCATCAAACAATCAAGGGGAAAACAAGTTTTGGGCCATTAGTATTTCACAACAGTTGTAACTGTTTAATGTCTTTGGGCAGAGGTGCAAATCCTATGGTACTGTAGATGTCACTTCAGGTTTTAAATACAGTAGTCAGTTGAATTCTTAAAAAACATCTTTGCTACACTTGTGCTGGCAAGTTGCAGATACCCATGACTAAACTAGTGCCAGTTCATCCGTATCACCTAGTCCAGATGCTTGCATGACTGTCCACGCTGGTGGCTGATTTGACACTGCAGCGTTTCTTCACGATCATGTTGATGTATGCTTTCATGATCTTTATTATCTCACCCACCTGGGGAGAGAACACAGCATACAGCATAAGCACTCTGAAAACCTCAGTGCACTGACACATACAGGACATTTTGCTGAAAGAGCTTTCCCTTCTCCAAAGTCATGACACAATCAATTTTGCATGTTAATATTAAATGTGAACATGACAGTAAGAAGAGAAAGGCTTGACAAGTTTGTACTCTGATGTAGCAACACTTTAAAATATTTTTAGCTCAAAGAAAAGGAACTCCCATTCTACTAAATCTTTTTTTAAAGTGTGTGAAACTCCCCATTCATCTACTGGAAAGGAGTGAAAAAAAAAAAAAAAACAGGCAAACTGAAGAGCATCCAGAACTGGAAACTCTTGATGCACTGGAAAACCAATCAACTTCCTTCAATTTCTAACCAGCCTATTATTTTGTTCATCCCTGTATTCAAGAAGAGGTATCATGCCCTTAAGGCTTAAGCTCCCTTCATGTTTTCCCTTGGCTGTGTAGTCCACTAGTCAAGAGCTCTTCTATTCCTTGAAGCTTAACTGAAGTGGCTGTGTGCTTTCACGTACCTGGGAGGTTTCAAAGAACATTTCTCTCTCATCCACTGTAATTTTGAAGGTGTTGGGCTGTGGTGCTCCAAAGAAAACAATGTGCTCATACTGGAAAGTTTCTAGTGGTTTAGGATCCCCTCGTTTGTAGACAGACACATTCTCTGTGCTGACGCCAAGCCAGAGATCATTGGGGAATCCACCCTCCTTGCACTGCAGAAAGAGAAACACAACCTTCTGCATAAATGCAGTGGAGGATCACATAACTTTCCATTCAAGAAAAAGCCCTCTGTTTCTAGCTCTTATAGGACATTTCAATTCAATACACAAACCAGGGTACTTGCAGAATCTATGCTGGAGGCACTTCTGCTGCAAAGATTCGGACGTGACACAGCTGTGAGTCAAATACTAGTTGAGAAATAAATAATTGTAATAGGGAACAGCTCTCATCAGATTTTTAAAGTGATGCAGCAAGTCAATATTCTTCTTATTTTACAGATAATGCAATGAGTGCAAGCAACTTCCATGGTGATCCACCTTGGCAGCAGCAAAACTGACAGAAGTGAACTGTGGCCTCTGCCTGTAGCAGGCTGAGCACAGTGCTGAACACGCCCCAGTCTGCCCAGTTTCTGTTGTACTGCTGCAGACCAGGACTGCACGTTTGCTGGCAAGAACAGCAGAGCTTTGCTTTGACTTTCACTAGCCACCACTTTCTTAAACCCCTCTCTCCTCCCCCATTCCACCACTATTCTAACAAAGTGGGAATCCATTGTCTCCCTTCATTTACCAGTATGCCCTGCCTTGCTTGCTCTGTGCTGTGTCATAACTCTTGGACATTGTGATACTGCAGGCTTTCTCTGAGATTACTAAGGCAAAATGTATCCAGTTCCCAAAATTCCCATCTGTTACACACAGCTTTATCTGTTCTCCAGACTGATACCTCTCCTCAGCTGGTTTTAGGAGTTTATTAATCACTCACCTCAACATCAAAGAGGGTTGACCCATAACCTGGCCACTCCTTTACAATGGACATGTATTTCACCATGGCCTGATGCTGAGAGAGCCCCTGCAGCTTGGTCCATTTTTGAGCTATGCTTGCCCGAGCAGCTGAAAGCTCTTCTTTTACCCACATCTCCATCATCTGCTCCTCTTCTACCTTCTGCTTCTTTACAGACCCTGTCTTGAAGCTACGCTTCAATGTCCCTTCAAGGAAGCTGGTCCGTCTCCTCTCCAGAGTGTGACTGGTACTGCTGCTGCTCTTTGTTGAGTGCAGTATTTTGGATTTCAGCCTGTTAACTGGGTAGATTCCATCAAGGGTCCAGCTTATTTTGGAATAATCTCCATGAAGGTACTGCAGCCGCAGAGCTGCCAGACGCTGCAGAGTGTCCTCTGGCCCAGGAAAGTGACCGGCTATGAGGCTTTCGTGAGCCTATAAACAGAAAGTGCCCAAACCCATTAGAAAGCAAAAGCACACTTTATTCACCTCTGGGTCCTGTCACCTCTGCTGATCCCAGTAGGATACACAGAATTCAGGAGGTCGGAGCAGACATTGGAATAAATATGTCAAATATATCAAACCCAAGTGGTTGATATGGGGGGGAACACCCCTTTCTGCAAGCCTGAAGAGGACAGAGATCTTTGAGGGGCTCCTATCCTGTACAGAAAGTCCTACAATGAGATCCTTTTAGGTCTGGAACAGATGAGAGAGACCAGAATTGAAGCAATTTGGTTTTGTACTGTACCAGCTACAGCTCCTGTGTGAAGATTATATTCAACACCAGAGTAATAGATAATAAATTCAAGATTCTCAACCTCAGTTTCATTACAAAAAAGCACCTCCCACTTCTTCCTCCTTCACCTGATGTCTCCACTAATCTTCTTGCTTCCCTTTGCCTGTTTTCCTGGGAAATCTATTAATGGGGCTTTTTGCACATCCATCTAATGTCTGGGTAACACCTACTCTCCTACTGTTACTTCTCTCTGCCAGTTAAAGCTGTGTAGACTGAAAGCCCTGTCAGGAGGGAGTTGATTCATTTCAAGAATGGAACCATCATCTGAGTGATGTACATGCCATGCATTTGACTATCAGTGAGTTTCAGTCTTCATGACTGACTGCCATTAACACAGATTCAGTAATTTTCTATGATTTTCTGAGGCAAGGTCAGTGTTCTTTGAAGTAATACAGATGGGACAAATCACACAGCTGGGTGCTCCAGTTGGTTTAGTTTTACATTCCAGCTGCAAGGCTCTTTCATACCAGTGTGACCTCTGATCTTGCCAGTATCATTGTGCCATGGAGTACAGTGACTTAAAAAAGTAAGACTACTCAGTAGATAAGTATTCTCAACTACATTCTCCTTTCCTTTGTCTGCAGTACTCTTCTAGTGCCTCTCTGTTAATCAAAAGAAATTGCCCAAAAGATGGTTCTTAGTTAGTTCTGGTAATAGACAGATAGATGTTCCAGTTTTCTTTACATTTATGTTCTGCAAGCAGCTACTTTTAATGATTCTCATAAATCAGTACCTGAATTTCTCTGCCTTCTAAAGTTAAAGACCAAGTTTAAAAAAAAAATTATTAATGTTTCATTTTTTCTAAGTCTTTGCTAGCTTTTCTTGCCTTTGTTCTAATACTCATCTTCCCTAGAAAATTTCATGGTCTATCTGCTTAGTAGATTCCAGGCAAAAATCCAACACACTAAATTCTTTTGCAACAACCAGAATTCCCACTTCTAATGAAAGGTAAACCAGTTTTCTGTATCCTCTTGCGTGCTTTTGCCATCCTGGAAACCAAATCATTCTCCCAGAGTTTGCTTACCTGCTCAAACATGAAGGCAAATTCCACACCATCTTTGGGAACATTCTCAATATCCAAGAAGCAATAAAGCTTAAAATACAGTTGCCACTGTCCTTCCTCCTCTTCTTCTTCAGAGCCAGCAAGTCTGTAAAATATACAAGAGAATGAGAAGGGAAAAACCCAGTAAGGAGAAGTACCATGGTACTGGAATGTTCACAGTGCAAATCACAATCTGAAGGTAACCCTGGATTCTGAAACCCAGTGTTACATCCAACTAGGAATTAAAGGGTTCATGAAGCATTCTTTTACCTCTCAAACTTGGCCAAGATATCAGCCACAATCACCCGACTCTCCACAGCACGGTCAACCTGCTGGTTGTGTTCAAAGAGCGCGAACATATTCCGGCTGTCCTCCATCGCCAGGCCTCGGATCAGCTTCTCAACCACCTGCAAAACCAGTCACATCACACAGTGGGCATCACTCCCCCTTTCACAATGAAGAATCAGTACCTCTTCAGGACACCTATCATTTCATACATCTCCATCACATTTAATCTCCCTTAATTACTGTGTGTTTTCAGATTAAAGAATTCTAACCCTAAAAGATCATTCCCTGCAATGAAGTCATTACTTGTATTTGATCATCCCTGCTTTTCTTCTCTGAATCTTTTCAATCTTCCCTACCCTTTTGAGGAGGAGGGAATTAGAATTCTGCACAAGATATAGGCACATAATGGATTCAGATGTCACGGTGACATTCTCAGTTCCTCTAGTAACAATTCCACTTTCTGCTCTGTTTAGCACTAATGTTTTCACAGACATGACTACTGCAACCTGGAATCCTGCTTCTGACCTGCTAATGATTAAGTTACTGGTGAAATAACCCTCTCAGAAGGATTCCATTATGAACTGCAATCTCTCCTTGTCCAGAAAACTGTTTAGCAAATTTCAGACAAAGGGGAGAACACCAGAACTGTTTTGATTTTGCAACACAGTTTTCAAGTGATACTCTACAACCTGGCCTTGTAGAATAAGCTGAACTTTTCCCAAACAACCTGGCCTTGTAGAATAAGCTGAACTTTTCCCAAAGAAATAGCAAAAGAGTTGTCATTAAAAAAAATAAAATATTGGGTCAACAGACCCACTCTCCAGACACAGATGTGCTCACATCTGGTTAATCCTACTGATGCATTACCTCCCCAGCGCTGGTGTGGGAGTTGATGGTTATTTTGCAGGAGCCACCACCATGGCAATACACTGTCGTGGTCATTTCCTCACGGGTAAGAAGAGCCTGTATTTCCTCCTGGGAGGGCACAAACTCCCTTGTCTTTGTTCTCTTCAGGGAATCACTTATGAACTGTGCATACCTATCTATTTCTGTGTCTGGAAAGAGATCTTTTACCCTAATTGTAAAGAGAAGCAAAAAAAAAAAAATCCCATTACACAGTGAACAACATGTTACCTTAGAAATGAGACTACTGCAAGTAAAGAGCTTGGTAGAGATGCTGATGTCAAATGCAACCACACAAAAATCACGTTTATTTCCTAAACAATACAATCTGCTTTTACTAGTAATTTGAAAGTCATTTCAGTGGCATTTCTCAGCAATATATGAAATAAGGAGTTCAAAGTTTCAGGAGTTTAGTGACAGCTGAAGACAGCAGGATTGACAATCTCAATTTACAACACTGAGAATACAAACTGTGGAATCAAATGTAAACTTATTTTTTCCTAATGTTTTCAGTTGTTTTTTAAAATTTGCTGGCTATGTTTGAGCCATATCTACAGTATGTTTGAGAATTAAGAAGATAGAAAGCAGATACCTGTACACTGTTCTCTTTCCTCCAAGACCAGCATGTCTAAGTATAACATTATTTTCAACTCCAGTGATAAAAGAATGAAATGGCTCCATGGAGTATCTGAATCTCTTAGACCCAGGCCATGGATATAGCTATTTGATGTATTTGACACAAAACTCATCTCACTCTTTCCTAGCTTGGAAGGAATCAAATAGATTTTATTGACCTTGCTCATCATTAGGAATGGAGCAAAGTTACACAGCTGCAGATCAGGCCCAGTGCAGACTGCCTTATAAAGCTGCATTAGATGCTGAAGATGACTTGGGAAGCAATGCAAATTATTTAGTTCATGAAAATGGGAGGTTAAAACAGATTAAAAATACTAATTGTAAGCATTATGTGCTTAGTTAAAGAAATCTTGAAAAATTATAAATTGGATTTACAGTATCTCTCCTACTTCATAGTATGCTTTTTGCCTGTGCCAGCTGCAAGGTAGGACGGATTTCCATGAGCATGAAAGTACAGACCTCACCTTACCCGCAGCTTGGTAATGTTTATATGTACATTAGTAAGCAGCAGGTCATCAGCTGTAAATCCACTGCAACACAGTCTCATGGTATTCTGTTTGGTAACCTACATTTATTCCACAACCTTTTGACACAACAGATGGGTGGCAAGGGGAGGGAGTCAGAGTACACAGAAAAGCTGGTGGTAAGAACTGGGCAAAGGTAGGAGGCTGGAACACCACAGGAAGATGTTTGCACAGCAAGAGCGTGAGACAGGTAACTACAACAAGCAGTGGAAGATCAGGAAGAGCAAAAGGAAACAAGTGCAAACGAAAGAGACGTTCACCTTCGGAGGTGGAACTTGAGGTAGCGCAGGATCCCTCTGCTGGGCAGGAAAGTGCAGCTCATACAGGTCATCAGCTGCCAGTGGTGCAGGTTGCCAGCACTGTTGGGATGTGGCATGTGGTTGGTTTGCTTGATGAGCTGACAGTACACTTCATCACGGAGGGGCTTCAAATCATGGCAGGTCTGCAGGATGCCTTGGATAATGGGTATGGGGTCAGACACTGTCTCGATTTCCTGAAGGGAGTTAAAGATCTTCACTGCTTCATCCTGTAAGCTGCTGTAACCCTTCTCTTGTTGCACTGGGGAACAATCACGAAGATGACAAGAGGTGAGCATCTCCCTCATTTTCTACTGGCCCAGCATTACTACAGTCAACTCTACTCCTCTGTCATGGAAGAACAGCAACCTGAGCACTAGTGCATATCCTGAACTTAAATTTATACTTTAAATTCATCAATGCTTCCTCTCCCAATGTTCAAGTGTAGTTTTAATTTGTATTTGCCAACATCTGATTTGTCACCACTCCCGATCCATTTCTGGATAGACTGCACAGAAAAGCAGAGTAATATTTTTAAGGAAAATGAACATTGAAATCTAGTTCAGGCTTCAGTGTCTGCAACCAAAGTAATGGAATGTGGCCACTGAAGCCTGGCTTGTTTAATTCCAAATTCTGTGTTGTGTCTGTATTAGCTTTGACCCCTGGGCCAATACAGAACTTAGGCAAATTGCTGTACCACAAATGCATCTTATACCGATTGTTTAGATTTAAAATGCTTAGCCAAAAACCTGAGCTTTTTGAGCACCTAAATGTCTGCTTTTTGAACTGCTCAGACACGTGTGATAACATTCAGATGCAGGCCTGCATCCTTCTGTGCACATCTCGGGCTTTAGGTCCTTCTGAATCTCCTGTACAGCCACTGCTTCCCCAATGGCCATGTATTAACTGTACAATACAAAGACACAGCTCTAAAAAGTAAGTTCCACAGTGTGTTTGCTCTGTATTTTTCCTGTATTTCAGAATTTCTTTCTCTGTGCTTTTAATCTGCCATGTAACTGGATTGTGACAGACCTAATATCCTTTCACTTTCTCCATGACATTCTTCTGATCCTAAAAATTTCATTTTGAGGCTGAAGAATCCTGCTCTCTATTTAGTCACATAATTGTAGGCAAGTTCTTCTGTACCTTTGATCATCTTTGGGTAGGTTTTTACATCTCCTCTATCTTTGATGAGATGTAGAAGGCAAAACTGTCTCCTGTACTCACGATGCAGGTGTATGATACATATACAGCTGCACAAAGACTTTATTTTTCCTTTTCTAAGCTTTCAAAACCTTACATTAGCTGTTTTGTTTCTGTACTCAGAACTGTACCACTAAAGTTGACATTTTCATAAGCTATGTAAATTGATGTTCACTTTCCCTAGCACAGCTAAGATCACTACCTGTGTGGCAGACTGTTTTTCCCAAATATGTTGCTTTGATTGAAATTAATTTCTTAAAAGATTCTGTGGCTCAGTCTCTCCAAATGAGACATTCTTCTATAGTTCTTCACCAGCTTTCAGTTTTAGTATGTCAAACAGTCCGTAATCATCAACAAATCACTTTGGTTTCTGGTGGCCCATTATTCTAGCTCTTTCTTGTTCCTGACACTTTTGAAAAAAGGGTTCATTTAATCTGGTTTTACAGCAGAAAACTGTAAGAACTGTAAGAAAACTTCTGTAGAAAAACTACCCCACTGCAAGCTGCAAGATGTAATCCTACTGTAGTATTTCCAATGGAGCCACTCACAACCCAGCTGTGGCTAAAGGATGACAGGCTGCATGTCCCCTGGATGGATGATAAAACTATCTGCCCTCATTTACCCTAAGATTCAATGCTCCCATGATAAGAGGCAGTGAAAATGAACACAGTGTGGAGAAGAAAGGAAGAGAAAGGGCCCTCTCCCTCTCTGAACACTGTGGGCCACACTGCCCCAAAGAGACTTCACCTGCACAGAGAGAGCTTACAGGCCCATTTTGTGGTGCTCAGGCTCCTCCATGACCCTCAAAATGTGAGTGGATTCTGTCACTTGGGTAAAATACTTACAGTTGACACTGACATCCCCATAGGGTAATGGGAGCAGTGGGGAATGCAAGGGGTGCTGTGTGTATCTCAAGATTGGGTTCCTCCTATACGTCTGTTCCACTACTTCAAAGTTTGTGCTGTTTTCCTGGAAAAGAAAGCAAAAAATCATTATCCTCAAACAGACACAGTCCTTTGCAGGATGCCCTTACACATTTAGGTTCAAGCTCAAGCACCTTTTCTAAATTTCTGGAGGTGCCTAGGGGGATTAAGTGATCAAAGCATAATCTGTACCTAAAAATTACCCTGTACATTATTTCTGAAAATTAAACACAAGAACAGCCATGCTACATCATCCCACAAGTCACCAAGCACAGAATCTTGCCTTCAAGCATGGTTTGCATAATACATGTGGCATGATCCCTCTCTCCTATGTCCTTCAAGCTTTCAACAGGACATGGTTAATGGACTTTCTCACTACAACCATTTTCAGTGTGTAATAATGAGCCTGTTCTCAACTTGTCTGGTTGTACTATATGTGTTTACAGAATGAACAACCAAAATGCTCCATGGTGTTCAAAATCTGGGCCTGTCACTACCATACACACTGGATCACATTCTTCTTCTGCATTTTGCCCTAGACTTCTTCCTAACAATAAATTATGTTCCTTTTGTCCTTGAACCTGGAGCTGAAGTTTTCCACCTTCTTCTACGATCACTCCCAGCTCTTTCTTCCTAAATAAAAACTATCTAATTGCATCTAGTTTAGAGTTCATCACAAACACACTTCTGAAATTTGCTTTGGTGTGTCTTCTTAAATGATTCTAGGTCTATTTGCCAAAGTTTCTGGCAAGTTTATTCTCAAAAATTTCTCCTGTGGTACAATTTCTGCTATTTTGAAGGATATTATCTTTCCACCCTTTACTCTGATATTTAACCATGCAAGCCTAAGGTATGAAGAGATCTTCAGGGCACATCAAAGTCAGCTGGCTGGTAGGAATGAATTTTTTTGTATTTGTGTCTGACAGATGCTTAGGAGCGGAAAGGATGGCGCAGAGATTTGCAAATAACTTCATGGTCTAATCCTGCATGCAATTTTTAATTGCACAGAATCGTAGTCTAGACTTACGGAGACCGCTAGCAAAATAAAATTCATGTAATATTTGAATATTTTTTTGTTGCACAGTTGTGTGAATTTATTTTTTTACCCTTTTTCATTTTCCCCTTAAGACAGTAACCCCATTTTTTGCCACATTCTCAGCAATGACTGGGTTAGGCCAGTGGTGGTCTGGCTGCTCCCAACTCAGGTGGGAATTAGCAGGCTGCCACCTACCCTGATGTCACGAATGAGCTGCTGTGTGGGTGTTTCTATGGGCACTTTGGTGTCGATGACCCCCTGGATGGCAGAGGCCCAGCGCATGGCTTCGTTCAGCAGCTTGGTGTACAGTCTGTAGGAGTGCTTCCTCCCATGCACGATGATGTTCCAGTAGCCTGGCAGAAACAAAGGGGGAAACAAACCTGGAAGGTGAAACTGGCTGCCCTATTATGTAGCTGACTAGAGGTTAGGAACTGTGCCATTCACGTACAAGAAGGGCCAGAAGGAGAATCTGGGGAACTACAGGTCCGTCAGGTCAGCCTTGATACCAGGGAAGGCTGTGGAGCAGATCAGCTCTCAAGGAGAGCAATGGAGCTGGGCAAGGGGCTGGAGCACAAGTCCCATGGCTGAGGGAGCTGGGGGTGTTCAGCTTGGAGAAAATAAGGCTCAAGGGGGAGCTTATTACTATCTACAACTACCTGAAAGGAGGATGTAACCAGCTGGGGGTCTGTGCCTTCTCCCAGGTAGCAAGCAATAGGACAAGAGGAAAGGACAGCCAACAGACTGTCCAAGGAATTGGTTGAATCACCCACCCTGGAGGCATTAAAAAAATGTGTAGATGTGGTACTTAGGGTGGCTTAGTGGTGGACTTGACAATGTTAGGCTAGTGGTTGAACTTGATTATTAAGAGATCATTGATTCTCTTTTTGCCTGTAGCTTGTGGCTGATGTAAAACCCCTGCTGCTTTCATAGCAATATACAGCATGTCTGGTTAAAATCCACTAGGGTAGACATTAACAGCCCCATTGCCAAAACAGATTTATAAATAGGCAAGTCTCAGTCCAGAGTTTGGTACAAAGACAGCTTTCCAAGATGGAAGTATCTTGCACTGTAACCTGACTACCTGCCTGCCAACCAGGCAGCTCACTTTCACAGACAGCATTTGGACTACACCATGCTGTTAATCACTTGGAAAATGACCACTCTACACACAGCACCTAGTCAGGTTGCCAAATCAACTCTTAGAACTTTTAAAAATATATTTGACAACCTGAGAGAATGTGTCAACGTGATGGCAATTCTATCTGCTAAAGGCAGCTCTAGACATCTGTTGATACCAAAAATGTGGACACTTTCTTCTGAATGAGCAGAATAAATTTCCTCTCATCTCCCTTTACTAAATACTTCCGGCTTCCAGCCCTTTTAAAAGGTATCCCAAACAATTCCAGTATTCAAATGTCCAGTATTTCAAGTATTTTTCTAAGGTTCACAATCTTTGTATGAGGGATTCACCCTTTATCCGATAACCTGGGTTCCCTTCCAACTCCTAAGGCAAGCAATGGAGGATCATGCCAGATCCTGCCCTCCCAGAACTCTGTCATGTTGCACAGAAAGCAAATGGGCCTTTGCTATCTTTTGTTTCTATCAAGTTGAGTGGTACCATAACACATACACTGTACATCCCTTACAGTGTATGGGATGGCTGCTATTGAACATGTTAACACGGACCCCAGAGACAAACATAGATCATGCTACAAAGTGACAGTTCTGGAGATGTACTAATAATTACTGTCAACTACAGGAACTCACACCTGTTACCTTGCCTGGGGAACAATGAGATAGGCAGTGGCTCTACTGTGAGAAACATCAGCACTGTGTACCTGTGTCAAGTGTGAGGCACTTTGCACGCTTTGCAAATCTCTTAGAGTGTCTATGGGCAGAGATGTTCGCAGCCACACACAAAGCCTCAGGTGAAATCAAGACTGCCTTCTCAACGTGCCACACCCCTACAGTCCTGTACCATCCCCTCTTCAGGAGCTGCACACCTGGAGTCTGCTCTTTACCACCTTCTCCCTCTCACCTGTGTCTTTGAAGACCCTCTCATCGGGCTGCACCACAGAGCAGAGGCTGTTGAGCACAAGCGTCCCGAGCTTGGCCGCTGTGCGCTCAGAGGACTTGTAGTAGTCAAGGGCAGTGTTGGTCAGGACAAACCAGCGCTTCTTCATCTTCAGGGAGGACATCTTGTTGCTGCTCTGAACCTCCTTATGAAGCCAGCCTGGCACGGAAACACAAACATGTCATTACCTGCATCTCTTGCTCCCATGGTCAGGACAAATAATTTCACTGTCATTTTAGATTTGTTGCAAAATAAAGAAAAAAAAAGATTAAGAAAATTCAATACTTCAACAGAAAAAAAATTACAGCCTGCACTGCATTGCTAAAGCTGTCAAAAAGATAATTTTCTACTCAGAGGTGTAAAAAGCAATGTCCACCCACAAGGCAAAATGTTCAGAAACGGTGGGGCTGAACCAAGAGGCTCAAAAAAACAAAAATATATAGATCTTATGGAACATAGGCTTTTGTGTCTACTCTGCTGTAACAGAGACATCTTATTATGAAGAACAGAGCATACTCTGCAAACGATCATTTCTTTTTCTCTTTGACTAATGGACAGTATCAGATAAAAGGAACTGTTGACTTGAAATTAAGTATTTTGAAGTTAAGGTACTCAAACTGTTGTCTTATAGTCTCCTTTGTATCATTCAATCTCCTTGAAATTTTCAAGACTACGCTGGAAGGCTTTTGCCACATTTTGGTGACCCTCTTATTCCTGTCCTTCTGCCTTGCCATGACCACTCCATGACCTTTATTTCTTCATAGTCATTTCTGGAAGATGCAAGGCAATTTGTTCATCCACTTGCTTTCCACAGACTGGATCAGGAATGTCTTCATACATTTAAGACCATGCAATGAGCTCAAAGTATAGAGGAAATTTAAAAATATTTAAAACAAATGGGTGAATATTTTGCAATATATGTGTGATCCCTACTCATGCTCCACCATCTTCAACTAAGCTCTGACTAAGGATGTAATTCAAAGCTTTTGCTCAACCTCAGAGAATTTCTCTCATTTCACTTCATCTACCATAACCAGGTTAGTTAGTTTAGCTGAGGACAGCAGCAATCCCACAAAGATCTCTCTCCCTCCCTCCCTCCCTCTCTACATGACAGGTGTCAGAAGGAAGGAGCTGCCAACAAAAGCCACAGTGTCATGTTTTACTCCATCTAAGCCAGCTGCTCCTCATCAGCAGCGATGCTCCTTCCTATTCCCTGGTGGCATTTGCCAGACATGTTTAAATAGGCTAGAACTATCATCAGAAAAAGAAACATATGAAGCCTTTTTTTTCCCCCCACCTGGCAGGGAATTAGGTAAGAGCCAAGGCTAGCACACACGTGACACAGCAAGCAGCAGGCAGGAAGGTAGAGGGGGGCAGAGAATGACAGCTTCTGGGGAGCAGCTAAACCCTAGACTGAGTTAGCAACAATCAAGTCTCCCTGTCAGATAATAAGCAGAAGATGAGTTTCACATGTAATGGCATGTATTTCCTTTCACCTCTCACAAGGAACTCCTGGCCATCCACCTTGGATTCGCCTTTGGGTTTCTGCAGCAGGGAGATCCAGTGATGCATTTCCTCAGGAGTGTCGCTGTTGCAGTGAATCACACGATTGGCCGTGATGATCACAAAAGAATTCGGTCTGCCAGAAAACAAAAGCATTAAAATTAGTCATAACCACACAAATAACTCACAGCACACCCAGAGTCATGTTTTTTACCTTTCCATAAACAGAAAGACTTTCTGAATACAAACTACAGAGGAGTGCAGAAATACTTAAGATCATCTCTTCTTCAGTTGCTCTGTCAACTGATGACTGCAGAGACCAGCTAAATGAAATTAAATGTATTTCAAAAGCTACTTCCAAAGACTAGAAAATATTAATTCGTTAATAAGCAGCTGTTAAATGTTCTTGGCTCATTAACAAAGGACTTTGACTGACTGGAGTGAACCAGTGCTTGTACCACTGGGCTGAGCTGGTACAGCCATTCTCCTTGTACTTATTAAAACCAGTGATGCAACAGCAAACCCTGATCTCAGCAGGATCAGCTGAAACATGTTTGAGATTGGTTGTACAAAGGATGGGCTGATCCTGACAAAACAGAGGAAAAACTGTTGTGTTGCACCTGGATGACTTTGTCCTTCTCCTGCAACTGTATCTTACCAAAAGAATATTCACAATTCTGTACAGAATTGATGTTTTACAGGAAAATAGAAAAATAGAAGTATGACCAGTTCCAAGAGGATAGACTCAGAAACATTTGAAAGCAAAAAAAGGTTTTTATGAGAAAACAGAGAAATTGAAAAGTAGAATGCAAGTATGAAGCAAAAGGTGCAATCAAGTTCTGTTACAAAACTGCATAAATCTATGGAAGATCAAAATAAGCTGCATAAAAATGTTGTTTGAGAATAAGCATTCTCCTCAGAATTTGTTTAACATTGCTTCAAGCACTGATTTTCCAGAAAAGCATACATCAGCACACACAGAAACAAATTTTCACTGTTAAGCTTACTATTTGTTCCTAGTTTTCATGGGTTCATAGATTAATTATGAGGAGTACAGGCTGAGAACTGCCTAAAATGTTTTCATCAATGAAATCTTAGTTCATTTCTGAAATACATTTTCTAAACTACTAAAAACAAAGTCCTAGCAACCTGTGTCAGAGACCAGAGCTCTGTCCCCAGACTACAGAGATAAATAACTTAATAGCTAACATTTTACTTCAGCACTGTGGTGAGTATCTTTGCCCTGGCTGAACCTGTTAATATGTGGGAAATAATTAAATGTTAACATAAAGGGATATGAAATGTCCCATCATCTCTTCTCTGAAACTAACTAAAGGTCTGTGCTCTGTTGCATTGCAAAGGTATCAAGAATAATACATATTTCTAAATTCATCCATTATTCTTCCACAATGCTGTTTCTTTCCCCTGAATCTACAAAATTAACTCAAAATTACTCTGTTGAAAAAATGGAAGCGCTGCTTTTGCTGGACATATTTGTTCAGTGCTAGTGGTAGATAAAACTATAATTTTCTAACATTGAGATTATACTGTTTTCACTTTTAGGAGCTGAAGGAGAAACTTTGACTTGAAGACAATACATACATGGACTTCATGCCTATGAAGTGACATTGGTTGAAACAAGCTAAAGATTTCAGCTACGTTTATTTGTCTGGAGAAAGAGATGCATGAGTTGAAACAAATACAAACCCCAAAGGAAACCTGGACCTACCCACAAAAATATTGCAGGGAGTTTCTGATTTAAGAGATGGTCAGATTGTTGTACCTACCTATCAGGATTGTCTGAAGCACAGACAGAGTCAATAAGCCCAACATCCAGGGTTCCCTGCAGAGTGAAGAAGACACAGATTGCATTTTAGATTACAGGTGTTCTCCTCTGTGAATAGGATTGGAATTGAAACTATTCATCTGACTTCCAATAGCTTGAGTAGAAATGAACACACGAGAAAGCCACAAGTGAGTCATCTCTGCTCCTTAAACAGTACAAGACATGCAAGGGGCTCCACAGGACTGGAGGAAAAACAGTTACAAGTTTCCAGAGGGTATTATGAAGGTCTGAAATAACCTTAGCTATTATCTCTATACTGGCAAAATACATAAATACACCATTTTTCCCAACTGCTATCTTCTGTCTGGAATAACTGTGACCCAGACTAGTCCCATCCAAAGACATTTTATCTGTGTGAGGCAGCCTCCCCCTTCTCCTCCAACTGAAAAGAGCTATCTGTGATCAAGATGAGCAACCCTCAACAAGCACCATGATGTTCCCCACTGCTTACCCTCTTTGCTACCAGCTTTGCTGTTTCTTTATAATTACCAATGTCCAAGTTTCTTACACTGCTTAAGAAGTACAGCACTGCACGTGCTGGAAAAACATGCACAAAGAGTTAAACACAGAGGGCTCCAAGCATGCGCACAGGCTGGTTGCACAGTAACTCACCACAGCATTCTTTGGATTGGCCTGCTCATCCTGCATTTCCCTCAGCTGCTGTGCTGTAGCGCTGTGCACTCGGCTCAGAACATTAAACCAACCGCTGCCAACCAAAACAGAATCACAGTTAAACTTTCAGTAGTGAAACTGGCTTGAGAACATGATCAAGGAACCTGGAAAGATTTCAGTGGGAAAATTTCTTCATTCACAATTTCCTGAATACTATGTCAAAATGTCTCTTGGGCTGATCATACCAGATTCCAATGTCTTCCTTCCTCCTTATTTACCCATGAAAATTCTGTGCACGTTCTTCAACCCACTGACAGCTGCTCCTGCAAAATCCAGTTTTCCACTTGTTATTCAAGGAACTCTTAAGTAGGCAGTGGCTTTACAGGGAGCCCATGTCAGCAGACTGAGAAGAGCATACAGCACTTGTAAAAACAGGGTTAGCTGGGAATCTTCCTGGACTAGAGTCCTAGAGACGCCTGGGAGTCTTCTTGATTAGTCTCTCTCTGATCTGCTAATAAACTTGAAAGTCATATGGCTGGCAATTAATCATGGGTTTGTTTATAAGTGAATTGGGAATGAAGTTTTTTGTCTGTGAAAGGGCTTCTCTTACAGACATATCTGGAGGCTAAGCACTGCTGCAGAAAAAGCAGATTCTTATCTGCAGCTTCCAGTGAGATCAGCAAACATCCATACTTCATGGAGGATTCTCAAACTGGATACTCTGCAACATCTGCTAATCTGCCCTTTGCTACTGCAAGTGCTGGTGCTTTCTTCTCCCTCAGAAGAAAGACTGATAGGGCATAGGCAGAGGCCACATTTGGTTTACACTCATCCTAACAATTCTGCAGTGTTATCTTAGGGCATGCCTACTGCAGTTGTGGAAGTTCTGGGTTAAGTTACTGTTCCTTCCACCACTGCTCCCTACATTTGCCCTTTCTTGTCCATGTGGCTGTTCTTCAGTCTATTTCAGTTAAATTGTATCCAAACACCTTGCCCCTTTCTCTCCTACACCAAAATAATAATAAACCCTAAATAACTTCACAGAACCAGTAGATCAGAGAAACAGTTACACTGTCAGGGCTGAGAGAGCAAAAGCCTTGGTAAAAGTGGGAAGACATGAATGGCTGGGGACAGTAACCTCCTAACTTGGCTTTGCATAGCCAGGACAGGTTGTCCAACCTGCCCTTAAACAACTGATTCCCACTGTCTGGCCAGGATGCCAAGAAGGAAGGACATGAGTCACTTGTTTGCTTTGCACTTGGAAGATTTTATCAGATGACACTACAGACTCTGATAAGCTGCAGCCTTTTTCTGTCTCCTGGATAAAACCCAGCTGCTCTCGCAATCATTTACAGACAACATGAATAGACTTTTTGTTTGATTCAAGATTCCATTAAATAAATAAATCAGCTATTAGATGTTCCAGTTTATATTAAGGTTTGTGTGTCTGCTGAAGTAACCCTTGAATTCCACATGCTCACAGCCACATGAGAAGCTGGCAGTCCTGTGACTGCCAGACTGAACCACAACCTTGGTAGCTCTAACATCAAGTCCCCAAAGTAGGTGTGATGCATCCCAGGAAGCACGAAATGACACTCTGGAACAAATCCCCCATTTTCTCCAGTAAAAGAGAATTGATTATGCTTCTAAAACTCTCCCATGAGTAGCTGGGTCAGGCCTGCACTGAATGAACAAACCTAACAAAACTCCCTGCTGTACCTGGCATCTTCTGGTGACTCTGCAACAATGTGGTAAACTCGGTCTTCTGTCACAATGTCCAAGGCATTCTCCTTTTCATGAATATCCACAATCTCTCTGGAACACAAGAAAGCACAAGAGCCAAAGCTAAAAACCTTTCACAGGCCTGAATTCCATCTGGTCGATTCTTTCACATCATACCCTTCACCACACAGAAGGGAAAGCACTTGGTTCAGATGGCTTGTAACTCTGACAGAAATACAAAATTCCGCCAGTACACATCAAGATGTTTAAAAAGATCTGTACAGTTAAAAACCAAAGCTTAAGGCATTATATAGATTTTCAAGACACCAACAGACTACATGGAAAAAGAGATAACAGGGAGGCTGATATAGAGATCTGTTTACAAAGTCGGGTGTGCCATTCTTTTTGGCACTTTACAGGCCTGCATAATGCTAATAGGTGACCAGTCTGTCCTTTCTTACAGCGGGAGCTGAGGAATTGACTATGGCAGCAGAAAGAGCATTCAGGACTCAGGAAAAGGCACAGTACATGCTGCCAAATTCAAATCCCGCTGTGAGCTTCATAATACCTCTGTGAAATGCCTGGAGAAGCCAGAAAACAGATGGAGTCTGGGTAGGAGAGAATGCATGGGGTATGTACTTAATTAGCCCCTCCTGGTCTGGTTCCATCCATGGCTTGGAAAGAGCTGCTGCTGGATTATGAAAGGCAAGACTGGGAAAAGAACTATCAAGTAATCACAGACTCCCTCCAGAGTAAAACTAGATGCTGTAATTGCCTTTTCCTTCCTTTGTTTCTGAGTCTCCAAGCACCATGGGAGATACACAGGCCAATGAACAGCAGCACTGGACCCTTCATTACTGATTTAGAGAGTGAATACTAGGCATCAAAGGGATTTCTTTTTGCACTCACTTTGCCCTTCTGATATCAATAGTCCCCTTCAGCTTCTCCTCACTATCATTCTCGAAGTACATCAGCTTGGACTCCCGAAGCACAAACCAGCGGCGTTTCCAGTTGCGGCGTGACAGGGTTGACATTCCTCCGCCTTTTTTGTAGAGCCAGCCTGACTTGAGGGCCTCCTGCTTGGTGCGGAACCACATGAAGGCCTCGTTCTTCAGGACACACCAGCGCCGCCGCCATGGGTTCATGAGACCTCCTGCAAAAGAGAGGCAGCAAAACTTCAGCACACACAACAGGGGCCATGCTTCCACTTGAGCCTGCCTCCGGGCAGGAACAGTTGCCACTTCAGTTCCTACATCAAAAAAAGGAACTGAAGGAGAGAAACAAAGTTGTGCCTAATTTCACACATAGAAAAAACAAAACAAAACTAGTGAAACAAAAGCAAAATACAGAAATACATGCACTACTCCAGTATTTTTGTTCTGAGTTCAATTTCATAGCTGAGAATGAATCATTTAAGCCCATACCAAGTAGGCACAATGAAGTCTCAGTGGCAAAGATATCTCTGACATCCAGCTCTCTCTCTATTTGCTTTTTTAAATAAGAATAAAAAGGAAGAATAAACTGAGAAGTAAGAGCAAATAAAAATGATTATTCTGGACAAACAGAAGAGGAAAGTAGGTTTCCTGGATCCCATCTATCCATGGTTTTGGCAAAATCCACTTACCTTTCATGTAGAGGTAACTGTGAAAATAGGGCGGACCTGAACCATTGAAGATAGTGATTCGTCCATTACAAAACTCTTCATCTGTATCAATGTAAACATCCACTTCCTCCTCACTCTCCAGAAACTAAAGAAAGAAGAAGAGCTATAGGCTACTTGGGTTCTCCTGGTTGCAGGACTGGAGCAGTTAACAGGGTTAGAGAAGTCACATGATTGGAAGGTGCAAAACTACACACAGTCCCTTTGCAAAAAAAGCACTACAGTAAAAGCAGAGGCTTGACAGCTTATCCATTAATGCCTAAAGCAAGAGCATGGAATTTTCATACCTGAAAGGAGAGAAGTGGACATGCCTAGAAAGCTCCAGTTCCCTGCAGTAACAAAACTCCCTGTTTCAAGGCACCACCCACCTTGCATAATCTAATTTGATGGGATTAAGAGAGAATTTTTCATTTTGAAGAAGTTTTCTGATTTTTCTGGCCACAATGCCAGACAAGATGGAATAGTGATTTAACCCCAGGAAGGAAATTACTTGTTTTGGGTTAAGAAAAAAAGCACAGTCCAGGATAACGGAACCCTGAAAACATCAATCTGAATTACTGAAATAATAGTACTGAATTTACTCATCTCTGTTCTCCAACTAGATAAAGGCCCTCAGCCATAAGAAAGTATTTCACGCACAAAATAATTTCCTTTACCTAAAATAAAATTTCCTTTGATTTGCTTTATTAATTTAATACTAATGAAGGCAGTTCCTTAGACCTTTTCCTTCCTCAAATGCATGTTGCTTCTTTTGAGTTCCCTTCTGTCTTCTCTCTGTGACCCTTTTGTCTCATCCCTGGTCCACTCATTCATTCCCTCCCTTGGCATTAAGTTTCAAAAACCAGGTAGACTTCAAACAGCAGCTACTGATGGGATCTTGACTCAGCTGTGGTTATCACTTCCTGTGGCTCACACTATGACAAAATATCAACTGTTTTTTTTCATTAGTCTTACTCACCAATGAGCCCACCCTCACTTCTATTTGCATTTTAATGGTAGGAACCAGCCTAAGCTGTGACAGAATGATTCATGATTTGAAGATTACCTGACAGTGATCTGTGAGTACCTGCCCACAGAGAAGGTACCTTTACTCAAGCAGATCACATAAAAAATTCGGATGGCTGGCAGCTGACATTAGGGAAATGCAAACAAGACAACCATGCAACTTTTTAAAGAAAGGTCACAATCTGTCATTGAGAAAACACATTGAAGGAAGTAAATTTGAGTTCCTAAAAAAAAAAGATATTTTGTAGTTCAAGTGTCTCTTCTCAGGGATATCATTTATTAGAAATATTTTTGTGGCTGTCACTGGCTTCACACCTGAACTCCTCACTATCTTATGTGGGCCTTGACATCCTGGTCCTGTAAGGGGATTTATCACTGCATTATTAAGCTGCTGGCCTGAGAGCACTCAGGAGGTCCAGACCCAGTGCGGGATCTCAGCTGAGGTGCTGAAGTGCAAGGCCAATAGCCCAGCTTTACCACCCTGTCATTGTCCCTGCAGCAGGAATGAAAAGGTTCAGTGATCCTGGCTGTGTGCATTGGGACCCAGCCCAATCAGCACAGTAATTTCTTCCAGCTTTAGAATAGCTTAACTTGTACACAGCAGCTGAAAATAAACCCTTGACTCTGAACAGACTTAGAACAAGAGAAGTTTTAGTGATGGAGACAAATCAGCCTTTCCCAGCCTTTCCCATCTCCTCTTGTCATTGCACACTGGAATGTGGAATGGCCTTTCTGTGAAATCTCTCTAAGGTAGAAAATACACCTACAAAATACCAGTTGTTTGCTTTTCTTTCTCCTAAAGGGTCTTACAATAATATATGGCAATGGAAACAATCTAAAATAGGTACACATGTACTAGCTTGTGTGCCAGCAGACACCAGACAATCACAAGCCCTCTGGCCTTCAGCCTATCTATGACTCTTCCGTTTTTTTCAAGCTGATTATTGATAAAAGAGAGAGTTACATATCAGTAAGTATACCCAGAGTGAGCAGGCATACAGTAAGAAGACAAAGATATTATAAACATCAACAAAGTCACACTGATGTCCAGAAGGGTGAAGGGAGAGATTCTCACCGAGTCCAGGCTGCCACGGTTGGAGTCCAGGCTGGTACCATGGGAGTGCCTCAGACCCTCCTCATCATTCAGAGGCTCAGCTGAGGCGTTACCTGCATCTCCATAGCCATCAAACTCCTCATGGTCATAGTCAGACTCCACATCAGGGGGGGAGGTGTAAATGGGCTCTCCTGCCTCTCCACTGTTACTCCTCTGTGTATCAGAGACACTGCTGTAAACGCTTTCTGCTGGGTCAGACAGGGCTCTCTGCTCCTTGGGACTAGTGGTTCTTTCCACAGGCAGCCCTGGAGCAGGGGCAACCTCTCCCATTTCCCTCTGGAGAAGCAAAAGGCTTGTGTTTGCAACTTCCTTTGAGTAGTTACCACTATTTCTCGTGCCATGCTGATTTGAGACCACCAAACTGGAAGTTGGGCGTCCTTCATCATCGGCATGAAAACCCTCATCCACCTCTTCTTCAGCCAGAGGTGCCACCAGGCTGCAGTCAATGTTGAGTGTCCCCTCACTAGAAAGTGAGCGCTCTAAGTTCTGCACACTTTCATCCAGATTGCCAAAATCCAGCAGCTCCAAGAATTCCTGGGCAACCCTTGATGCCTCTTTTTCCAACCTCTGTATCTCTTCTTCTCGCTGCCGACAGATTTCATTCCTGGTGTCTTCAGAGATGACAGACATGTGATCCTCTTTCTGTTGCTGCAACTTTTCAATCTCCTTCTCCAGTCTTAAGATCTCCTCCATCTGACGTCTCTCTTCTTCTTGCAGGGGAATATCCACCTCCTCAGTGTTTACTGTTTCCACCTTAAAAGAATTTACAACAGTGTTAAAGCACTTTCTTCAACCTGTCTGTGTTCCTTGCCTGGACCTTTCATTCTTCCTGTCTCCTGTGCTTGCCTTATACTTACGATCTGCAGAAAGATGACTCCAAGCATCCTGCAATCATTCATGGTATAAAAGCTAAAGGTAGAACACTCTCTAGTTTGGACACTCTCTAGTTTAATGGTTTTTATATTCTGGTGCCCAAAACTGCACATAGGTACCTCATTTTTCCCAGCAATCTACCTCCATTATGAATCATACAAAGAAGCTCACTGGGTTCAGTGAATTTTTAGAAAAGCCTCTCTATCTGTTGGTCACTGTACGCTGCAATTCGAATAAAAGCAGCCTCAAAGTCTGTTCTCTCTTTTTGAACTCACACACATATAGGAGAAAGCAACTATATATGAATACATACATGCACAGACTACTTAAGAGCTGAAGATCTACCAGAAATTCATTAAGAGGTCTGGAAATTTCATTGTTTCCTGAAATGAGGATCTGACCATCAGAATCTGGGGCTGGAAGGGCTATTTGCATGAAGCAGGACTGTATCCACTCCAACCACAGCCCAACAAAACTCCACCAAGAATTTCTCTGCATTCTTTACCATCACTAGATGGCTGATGGCTGACTGCTGAAGACTCTGTCTTACTCTATCTTTTCCACACTGAAGTAACAGGAAATTTCTATCAGATACATGATAATTGGAAGATGGAAGATTCTGGTAGCTTTCACTGATGTTTTGGATAAAGCCATCCTCCCCTCCACAGAGGATGCTGAAAACATACACATCAGAGAACAGATACACACATGAGAAAAAGTAAAAATAAATTCCAATAGGATTTCTTGTACTTCCTGATAGGACTTATGACAATGCAGTCAATATATTCACTTATTTAAGCCTTAATCCTTGTTTTCTTCATTTACCTAGTTGCTGGTTCTCTACTTGACTCTTACTAGTGGATGAATGCATTTCTATGCTTCCAACCTCTCCTGAATAAAGATGGCCTGAAACTGGGGAACAAGTGGTATGGGAAAAAAACCGATGAAATACACAGCCATTTTCACACACCTCAGGGTAGGTGGTCTGCTCTTTGGTATGTCAAGTACCAACAATTAGATCAGTTACAAGGGGTTTATTTTAGCCATGGCAGCAGTTGGCTGCACTCTTATTTCGGCTGTTACAGGCAACAATCCAGCGAAACAGACTGTGTCACAGTGTAGCACATCACAAGGTTATCTAACAAGCTCAAGCAGTAGAGATAAAAATAGGATGCTGCATGTTCAATATGGAAATTTTCAAATAGAACCAGTGCAGGCTCATACAAGAGCCTTGAAAAAAGCCCTACCTTGTTAACTCTGTGCACCTTTGCCTACAGGTTTTGCACGAACAAAGCCCATTTTTTAAATAGTGTTGTCATAATACTGATGCTGCCACAACAGTATCAGTATCCAGGCAAAGCAGAGGCAATGAAGGACACTTCACAGATATTCACAAGAAACCATGTGAAAAGAACAACTTTTAAACTTACCTGGGCCACCTGCAATAGCGCATTCAGTTGCTCCTTTTCTCTGTCAAAAAACAAAACATAACAGTCAGAGACAGACCTAGTTCTCCTACATGAGGTTTTCAGAATTACATGGACACATCATCCCTCCATGGATAAGGTTAAAATGAGGTACTTGCTGTAAGACTGATTTAAAAGCTTTTGCAATTTAGTAAAAATCCAATTCTCTGTGGTTGGCATGACCTTTGTGGATGTAACAGATTTTCCCCATGCACTTAACTTTCAGATCAATTAGGAAATTAGATTAGTTGGAACACACCAGGAAGGACATTGGAAACAGTGACAGAAAGACAAATCAGACTCATGATAAATGTAAACAGAATCTTCTGAAGTACAATAAATCTGTGCATATTGAGGCTGTGTAATTGACAGATATCAGGAAACTGTTCATTTTTTAAAAATAGAATTATTGCAATACCAGCACTGAATTTGTGTTTTGTTTTGCTTTTACTGTATTAAAGCCCCAACTCACATAACTTCTCAGTGGCATGCAAAATCCAGTTAATTAGTGAAGACTGTAAGAGTCAGAGTTTGTTAGTAAACGTGAGCAGAGGAAAAAAACTATCCCACAGTGTTGCAGTTCTACCCAGTTCAAAAAGGTTACACTCCAAAGCAAAGCTATCACTATGGCCAGTTTCTCCAGAGCAAGAATGCTACAAACAACTGAACCAGCAGACACACAAATGCCAGGGTCATGCTTAGGGAGCAGGAATAGGATGCTGCTGGATGGAAGAAAGTGACCACTGCCAGTGGTGACTTTCAAACCTATAATTCAACCCCAGGGAGAACAGAAGGGCAATGATATTTTTTTCCCAGGCCTTGCAGATTTTCCCAGACAAATTATAAACTGCAGCTGTAAGTCACAAAGTCCTTAAAACTCTCGCTCTTGTGCTCACACTCTCAAAAAAAAAAAAAATCCAGGAAATATTTGTAAATGAAAGCTGACATAAGTGAGATCCAGATGGTTCCAACTCTACTTACTGAAAGATCCCTAGCAGTCATCATGAGTAAAACAACTGCCTTAAATTACAAGACAGCTCAAAAGCAACACCATCACAACCATTCTAAAACACATTAGGAGTGCCACCTATGATCTACATAAAAATTCCTGCAACTGTTGCTCACAGTTTTTAAACCTTTGGTATTTCTTCCTGCTTTCTAGTCATCATCAACTGATCTACACTCTTCCTGAAATGTGATACCCAAAACTAGGGACAGTACTCCAACTGAAGGGTATTGAACCATCACCTCATCCTACAGAAACAATTCTGTTTATAGAGATCATTTGCTTTCCCCTCTCACACAGCATGACACTGGTGACACACTCAACTTAGCCTCCAGACCTTCCTCCTGCTGTTGAAGTAAGCATTCCTCCTCCGCTCCCTGTGCATTTGATTATTCCTGACTGTAAATCTGCATATGTCTGTACCCAAAGTTATCCTGTTTTTCAGATCCTTTAACTTGCCAAAATTATCTGAACTGTAATCCTAGGCTATAAGCCTACAGCCCCTCAGCAGATGGTTTTATCTGCAAATTTAATAAGGATATTCAAGTTTCCTTATCCAAGTTCTTATGAAAACATTGCACAAGTACCATATCCAGCAGAGATCATGGAAAAATCCCATTCAAGAGTTCTCTTTTATTTAACAAAAAGCTACTATTGTTTATTAATTAAATGCATAAAAAATACAAATCCTAATCTTGCTTCACATACTTTTTCCCAAAGCAAATTTCTTCAAGCATCTTAGAGTATTGTCTAACGTATCAAAGCCCTTACCAAGCTTTTATCTTCCCAAAGTCAAGTTACCTATCCTCCATGGCTTTTCCCTGTCCACAAGACATGCCATAAGACAGCACAGAAGGAAACAGGTAACTCTAACACTGTTCTCAGAAATCCACATTGGCTTAATTCCTTTATCAAGCATTTACAACTGTTTGATTGTTTGTTTCAGTATTTTCCTGAAACTGAGGTCAGGCTGACTGGTCCACATTTCCCTTATTTATGTATCTTCCTTTTCCCATTTTAAAAGGGGGTCATAATTGTTTGGTATTTTCCATTTTTATGGAAAAATTACTATCCACATTACTATCCACAAAGAAGAAGAAAGAGAATAGCTATTGTTTTAAACTGCTTTACCTAGTTCTTGAAGTATCCAAACATTACTTTCACCAAATCTGCATACCTTCTTTATAATTTGTAATTTGGTTTATCTGAGCATTTTCTAACTTTTATTTTCATGACATGTTCTAAATTCTTGCACATTCTTCCTTATCGTATTTAATATCCAACAGTTAAACTTTTGGGGAAGATAAAAATAGTATCAAATACCTCATTTCTCTCAACATTATTATTTTTCTTCCTGTTGAATGTTAGACCAAATTGTTCCGTGTCTCCCCTCTGCTAAAACTGTATGTACAATAACTGCATGCCAACTTCTGGTTCACTACAGCTCAAATCATGCCTAGGTCCTTCTGACTTTGTCTCTACATTTGTGTTGCTTTTTGCTTGTTCTCAGTGGACTTCCACCTCATTTTTTAGGTCAAATGGATGTTCAGAAGTTAGACACATTGGTCTGCTAGTACCGTCCTGGCTACTCACTCAGGTGCCATTTAACATTAATTAGAAAATGAAAATAAAATGAGTTTGCCTGACTCCTAGAAACATTGACACTTCTCTGCTATGATGCTGGGTTGAACACATTTCTCATGCTCTGGGAACTGAAGGGCAAAAACACTCTATAGCCAATAAACTAGATAGGTCCCTCCTTCTATTAGAGAATCAAATGCTGAGTTGGAAGGGACCCATCAGGATCAATGAGTCCAACTCCTGGTCCTGTGCAGGACACCCCAAGAGTCACACCATGGGCCTGAGAGCATTGTCCAAATGCTTCCTGAACTCTGTTGGGTTTGGTGCTGTGGGCACTTCTTTGGGGAATCTGTTCCAATACTGACAACCCTCTGGGTGAAAAACCTTTTCCTGGTATTGAACCTGAATCTTCCCTAACTCAGCTTCCTGACATTTCCTTGAGTCCTGTCACTGGGCATGAGAGTCAAGAGATCAGAGCCTACTCCTCCTCTTCTCCTCATGAGGATGTTGAAGACCACAATGAGGTCTTCCCTCAGTCTCCTCAAGTGACCTCAGTCAGTCCTCATACAGCTTCCTCTCCAGACATTCACCATCCTCACTGTCCTGCTTTGGACACTCTCTAGTTTAATGCTTTTTATATTCTGGTGCCCAAAACTGCACACTGGATTCAAGGTGAGTGCTTCTAACCTTAGAATTTTCTGATGCTTGCCACACAGTCTGATGAGATCCCCCTTTGGGAAAGTACATAACAAAAGCCTAGGAGAACTACTCCTGAAAAGCAAACTACCACACCATTATATGTTGAAATTTATATATAATAAACCCAGCAGAGTCCAGCAAGTGCAGCAAGCAGCAGTGCTGACCCCACAGACTGCAGCACTTCCCATTTGCTGCAAGAACTGCCAGGTAAGTTCCTTCATTCCCATGAGGGATTCCTGCCATCCTTCCCCTTTGTCTCCCAACAGCGTGGTCACCTGCAAAGGCTGCCATCTTGAGTGGGAGGCTCTGATGCCATTTTCCCTTTGACTCCCTGTGCACCATGGCATGTGGCGGGTGCCATCTTGGAAAAAGGGATTTCCACCATTTTGGGTTTCAGATTGTTCTCAGGGAGTTTGTGAGATTTAGCAATTTTGTATATAGTGATTATTTACTGTTGGTTTTTGCCTGTTGCAGCTTCACTTGTTAGTAAACTTATTTTTTCGCTTATAGCTACTTGTATTCATTCTTTATTGGTGGTATTGGGACTGGTTAAAACAAAGGGGGAGAACCCATTCTAGAATGTTCCCCTTTAAACTGCTTAAACCCAAGACAGAATGCAAGATACCATCCTGTACCTTTCCTTCACCTCTTCCTCTTCCTGTTTCCTCCTACGCTCCTCCTCTTCTTGCCATTGTCTTTCCTCTTCCTCTCTTCTGATCTGCTCTTCCTCCTCCTGCCTCCTCCTCTCCTCGGCTTCCTGCCGGCGCCGCAGCTCCTGCTGCAGCAGGTGCTGGTAGAGGCTGCGAGCCAGGCGGCCACGCCAGTGCTTCTGCAGGGTCACCGCAGAGGCCTTCAGGCGCTGCAGGCTCTTCTTCCAGAAGTATGCTCGGTAGTTCTTTTGGATTATTACAACACTGGATAGCACCTTCTGATACTTCTTCCTGAAAACAGAACCACACACTTAATGCATCTCTAAGTCATACGTGCTCTGCATTCCTCATGCCCTTGCACACTGACCACATCCACAGGAAAGTCCTTTTCGAAAAGCACAGGTCAGAAGTGACATGATTTCTGTTCCTCTCCTGCCACTCACTACCTGTAAATCATATTCACCTCACTGTTCTCCCTCCTAATCTACCAATAGTTTGTTTCAATGGGCACCTACTTTTGTGAAGACTCTCAGACGATGAGGGAGAGGTATTTGGCCATGGAAAGGGAAGGTCCTCTGGCCCAAAGTCTCCTTGCATTGCACATAAACACATTCACTGTGCAGTGGGCATAATCACTAAGTATGGATTTATTATAATAGAAACATACAAATGCCCTTACTATATGAGAACAAATATTGGTCCATCTCTTAAGTGGCCAAAAGCAAATTACTCCGGGAAAGGCAAAAACAGTGCAAAAATAGATTTGGTGACATTAATTTCACGTTGTCTGGGAGAAAACACACTGATACTACAATACTGATGGCTGAATCAAACATCATAACAAGTCCACATAAACAAATGTATTGCACAACATTTTGCCTAAACAAGAATCACAGAATATCTTGAGTTGCAAGAGACCCACAAGGATCATCAATGACATCAAAATCAACTCTACAGCACTTTTAAGAACATGATAGGGCCCCAAAACACAACAATCATCATTTAGTATTTCTGTAGTCTAGTAATGTTGTAGAAAAGCCAGGTTTTGCCTCTGCATTAAAGACTACCTTTATCAAGGACATGAAAAAAGTTCCTGGTAGAAGTTTGTACATGATACATAAACTGGGCAAATAACAGGAGTTAGCATTACACAGTAATCTGGATCAATTTGTAAACTAGATTCAAGCAAACATTAAACAGTCCAAAAGAGCCAATCATAAGGTTTTGTATTGAAGAATCAAAGGCCAAACACAACTGATGTGGGATTACGTTGGGACGCAGCAAGTCAAAACTGGATTTTTGGGCCCTAGGTCATCACACAAAGGCAAACTCCCACCACAATGCTATAGAAAAAAATACTACTCAGATTCTTATTCTTCTAAGCAGAAATACTGTTGTATAGAATACTGCTTTTATTCTGTGCTCTGTGCTAGCACCCCCATTTCAAGAACAGTGTCAGACCCTCAAGTGATTTTTGAGGAAGCAGGACTGGAACCAGAAATTCAGGCTTACAGAATGAGAGCAATTGCTCCATGCAGGACCTTAAGAAACAGAAAAGCCTATGGAAAGGCTTTACCCGAGTTAAAGTATTCACATTTCTATTTTTCCAACAGGGGCCATAAGATTTAACCAACCTGAAGCTGACATCTATTAAGGCTGAAAATAAGCAGACATTTTTTAAAGTACTTTAATATATTTGGATGCCTTAGTATCTTGCACTGGGGAAACAACCATTGGTACTAGTCAAATCAAAAAACTTTTCTAATCCAAACAAAATGTGCAGAGAGAAATTCTCTGGGGCTGTTGCACAGGATCTTGGGCCAGAAGGCTACAGTAATCCTTGAGGTCTTGCAGTCCTAGAAAGCACAGTGGAAAAAGCATGGTATTCTCACACAAACTTCCCATAGATCTTCTGCAACACCCTGAGGAAAAGACACATCTTAAAATCCCTCTCCTGGCAAGGAAATTCCCTTCAAATGGCAACAGGGACCTATGCTGACAGCTTGCCACCTCCCTGCACATCAGATCCATCAGCCCAGTCAAGAAAATCAGGAGAGGGATGCTAATAGATGTAATGTGCAGAGGTCATGCTCTTTTCCATAAGTATTAAGTCAAAAGGAGGAAGCACAGAGAAAAGAAAAGGAAAAGCAAGAGGTGGTAAGCAGTAGGAAGTTTTAGGTTAATTACTACTGGGCTGCAGTCCCCTCATCCCCACTCCTTCTGTCCACCCTGTGCCCTGCACATGGGGTGTGAACAGCTGCACATGCACTCTCTGCCAAGGCAGACTAAGTGCATCAAAAAGGGTGCTCTGACTTTTACAAAATGCATCTGCCAGAAACTCTCTCAAGTGCAACATGTGCCAAGCCCTGCCCAGCTCCAGGCCAGCACTGCCTGCTAATCTGCCAAGCTGAAGTGCCCCCTCATTCCTCATGACCACAGCCAAGCTTGCAGATGCCCTTCAGCTGGAATTGCTGCTCACAGGCTGCAAACCTCATTCCCCTTGTTCAAGCTTCCACTCACCCTTCTGCATTGGCCAAAGAAGTTCAACCTGCAGACCAAGCGAAGGGGCTGGGAGATCTGACCATGCAGCACACCAGAGAGGGCAGGCTGGCTGCAAGACTCAATGCTGTATTTGAAATTTACTTAATTATTCTGTCAATGAGCTGTAGTTAGCAGTTATGCCTCCAAGGACTATAGATCACAGGGTTACGGAGCAATTTGCTACTGTCTTCTTCCCATGAAGAACAGTCCTGAAGAAACCAGGGCACAGCCAAGTTCACACATGGATCCTGTACTATGTGGTTTTTAGCTGGTGAAGCTGTTACCTGCATCTCAGAGTTTCCAGATTAGCTACATAAGAATGGGGTCCTTTCAGTGGGCTTGATTTTCTTGTCTCACATTTTAGTGATCAGAGACACTAGGCTGCATAGGCTGCAGGGAATGAGAGCAAAGAAAATCTGGTTCTCCAGGCTCAGAACAAGTTCACAAAGGGGGAGAAACCAGTAAAATCCCTCGTTTGCCAGTCTACTTTGCATGAGACCAAATGAATTTAAATACACTTATACTTGCAAAACTAACAGAAATGGTACAAGCTTAAGGCAACACATACTGATATTCCTGCCCAACTCTGCACAGACCATTCAGCACTTGCCCAGATGAACTCCTGCCTGCTGGACTTTTTTCAATCCAGGTGCAGTGCAACTGGAAACTCTCTTCACAGAAAGTTTTACAGACCCCCTTTCCAGCTCTTCTTTACTCTCCTCCCCTGTGAAGTCCAGTTACCTCCAGCTGCTTGTGAAGATTTACAGTCTGGCTGCAGAAGCACAGCTTGTCCTTAAGGATGAGACTCATAACAGCAACATGTGGGATGAGGAATTCAGAAGTGTGGAGGCTGAAGGACCACAAGATTTCTAACCAAGAGGAACACTGCTGCCACACAGTCTCCATCACAGCCCTGCAGGACAGCAGCTTCCTCACCAGGATCTCAGAAAAGCAGTAATCCAGTATGCCTGCAGTGGTGTTTCCAGCAAATCAATTTTCCTGTGCTAATCCCTACCCCTCTCTCCAAACGCTAGACAAAAAGTAAAAGAGAGAAGAGGCCCTGACATAAAGAACCTGCAATCTCATGTACCAACAATAGAGCGAGCTCATTTGTCTTCCTAAAGGGAAATAAATAAACGAATAAAAAGCCCCAGAGACCAAATGTGTATTTTGCTGATATTCCACACTGGCAAGGCAGGGTACAACCCTTGCACACATTTCCCAATGAAAAATGAGCTACCTGGTGTAACTGGAGCTCTAAGAAGAGTGCCTGCTGAAACAGTTCTGCTAGCCAGGGATTTCACCTCCTCACAACCCTGACTGACAGGTGTCTGGAGCAAAGACCAGCCAGGAAAGAGCATCTTACTGGGATTAAGTGTGCATACCACAGCCATTAAGGAGTCAGCTGTTGCACTGACTTCGAGGGCAGAGGAGGGGCCGTTTGTCTGCAGTTGGTTCTCCCAAACCTTCACTGGTCAGGTGCAAAAGGGAGAGGCAAGAGGAGATTACTGTTGCAGAGCTGGCCAAAAACCAATTCTGAACAGTTAATTAAAAGGAGGGGGAGATCACAAGGCAAACAGGCAGGGCGAGGAAAGAGGGCGAGCAAAGGCAGAACTGCAAGTGAGGAAGAAGCAATTGGCAGGGGGAGCAGAAAACAGAGTTGACAGGCACAAGGGAAAGGAGGGGACCCAAAGCTAGGTGGGGCCCAGCCAGGAGAGCCCTGAAGGCAAGGAAAAGGTGTCATCACAGGCAAGCAATGGGTACAAAAGTCCACGGGAAGCCTGCTGAGCAGCGTTGAGGGAAGGTGCAAACGTGCACATAACTGAAAAAGAGGTGCCAAAGGTGCAGGAAGGTTTCAGCAGAGCTGATGCTGGCAGGGAGGGCAGATTCTGCAGCTCTCCCTTAGAACACAGGAGGGGAAGACGGGACGGATGCTAGGGGACTAGAGAGCAAAGCAGGGTGTCGGGGCAACCCAGGCACGCAAGCACAGGGATGGTGGGGCAGCCCCCAGCACTGACCTTGCCATGTAGCCCAAGACGTGGGCCCGGATGACTATAGCTGCTTTCCTCAACTCCTCTTCCCGATCCTTCTCCAGCTTCTGCTCAAGAGCTTCCTTCAGGAAAACCTGACGCCACGGGGAGGAGTTTCAGTAAACACAAAGAGAGGAAAGAAGTCAGTCCCCGGGAGAGCCGGGCGGTTTCATCCCCGGGTGAGCGGCGCGGAGAGCGCTCCGTGCCCGGGCGGCTGCGCTGCCGCTGCCGCCGCCCCCGCGCTGCCCCGGGCGCCCGCACTGCGAGCGCCGGGAAAAGTTCTGCAGCGGCGGGAGCCAAACTCCGAGCCCAACCCCCGCCGCCCTCACTCGGTGGTCAAGACTTAAAAGAGAGAGAGGGAGGGAGCAGAGGAAGGAGGGAAAGAGGAGGGAGGAGGAGAGCCCAAGTTTGCGCCTGTGCTTAACTCTTTCCCAGCTGACAGCTTGCCCGGCGCAATCCGGTACCTCCCTACAGCAGGCACTGGGACCTGCTTGGGTGATTAAATATTTTGCGAAGAAACTCCTCCGCGTTTCAAGGAAAGGGAGGAACTTCTCGATTTCTAGACTCCAGGAAGTAACTTTTACAGGAATCTTAATGGAAGGCAGGCGAAAAGCCAAAAGCCCAGTCGAGACAGAAAGCTTACTCTCAAGCCCACCGGTGCTGAAGCCCTCCACCGACCTCCAGACACTCTGGGGTGAGATGCTTCCGTGCTGAAGAGGTTCCACAGTGGAGCATGACTGGGGGCAACTGAGCTCTGACCACAGAACTCTCCAAGTATTACTGGTTGCACCCCAGTGTCCAGTATTTTAATTCTCAAGCATTTTTCACCGCCTGTATTTACAACTTCTGCTCGGTGCTAAATGCTTGTGAAGAATGCAGGTGCTACGTTAAAGACAAAAGAACTGAGATACGAGCAAGATAAGGCCATGTTTACAGGAATTGTGCTGACATGTCTAAGCAATGTTAAATCAGCTGGCTTGCATTAGGTTAGCACAGGATTCAGCAGAAATTCCTGAAATAAATGTGCTGCTTTTTGAGATGGATTGCAGCCTGCAGGGAGCTCCACGGTGCTGTGGGTACACTGCTAGCAGTACCCAGACTAGAATAAGCTGGTGAGACATGTCCATACAAGCTGCGGTCACAGCAGCAAGTGCCATATGGCCATGTTCGTGTGACCTGCTGCCTGCCATTGAATAAATCCCTGCCAGGGCCAGCAGCAGAACAGGCTACACTAGGGAAGTGCAGCCCCACTTGTTAAAGCACTCTCATATACACAGAATGTGAGCTGATATTCATCAATCTGCAGAACTCAGAACCACATTAATCAGTAGAAACTCCTTACAAATGTACTGGATTCATGTGGTTGTGCTGAGAGGCCAAAGATTTGAACAGTCATTTAGTCCAGTGCCCTGCACCAACTGCCCTCTTTCTCACTTATCTCCCCTATATGTCCCTCTATCCCTTCTCCTCCATCACTGCTTTTGGCCTCATCCCTTAAGGCTCTTCCTTCCCCCTGCAATTACCATTGTGTACTGACACCTCTCCCTGAGTTAGTACCCATAGCCAGTGGCTTTCCTGCACTTGAATTTCTCCTGGGGAGCAGCTTCCATTAAGAAATGAGCTGTTTTGTAATGACTAAATAACCATGGGTAGCCTGAAAAGAAGCTTCATTATCAAGGTACTGCCAACCATGAAGCTGGCATCCTTCCCTGCAAGTTGTACATCCACTCCCTCTGTCAACTCAACAATCTTTTAAAGATTTCTTTGAGGCAGGGATTGCTCTTTCCATTACATTCCAGACCCAAGCAGCAGTCACCCATTTCAAGAATGCAACCAGCAAAACACTGTCTCGGTCCATTATCTTCATCAAATTGTAAAAATACTCAGACCATCAGTATTTCCCTAGCAAGCACAGTCTTTGCTGAGCCAGACCAGTTTGGGGTGGGGGAGGAACTTCAGGGCATGCAGAGATCCATGAGACTCAACCCTAATCCTGTAGGATTACAGGATCTATATATGCTGGAGTGAGGGGTTAATCTCAAAATCCAGCAATATCTAGTTATAAACTTTTGGCATTTTGAAGGTTTGGAGGTTGTTTAGACTCCACGAGATGACAAGGAAGAATAACATGCATTTCAAGTCCAGAAGCTTTTTTGATACCTTGTAGAAATAAACTAGAAAGTGGCTGTTTCTTTGTCATTATTCATAGTCATTTTCTGAAAACATAGGATTGTTTTCATTTGAGAAAAAAATGATTGAACAAAACATACAAGGTTATGTTGTATTACACGGATTTTACAAGGTTACATCTATCACATTCTGCTGGTACTAGACACTGGCCAGGTTTTAAACCACAGTGCATCACCACGCTGTTCCTCACATAACCTCAAAGCCTGCATGCACCATCAGTGGGACAGTGAACATGCTAAGGTGTCACAGAGATCAGCAGACACAAATGTAACTCTTTGGGTACCTATGTGTACATAAGTGGGATCATATGATTCTTGGGGACAGCACTGGGAAAGCAGGAAGTGGGTCACTGTGACCTGGATGCCAAACAGTGTACAGCAACCTCCTCCAAACAGGCCCTGCAAACCAGCAGGTTGAAATGTGGAAATTAATGCCTTCAAACAGCAAAGGTTACTGTATTAAACCACTGTAGGAAATCTGTGTTGTGGGTATGGTAAGTATGGCAGAAGGCCCAGGTGCACTGAAGAAAGGGTCATATGGGAGCTGCTGCCCCATCCCTGCACATTCCCAGTGAAGGCAAAGGCACCTTAGCACAATCTCTTTCATGATCACACTGCTTGTTTGCATCCAAGCCCTCAACTCTGCCATACCACCATATAAAACCTGAATTGCATACATTAATACCTCTTATAAACATTAATTTGACAATTGACAGCACAGCAGCTGCTCTATTCTTAATGAAAAACACAAAGATCATCCTGCCCTTCCTCCTCCGTTTCCTTTCCCAAGCTTCACAATCCCCTGCACTAATTCACAGAGTCTTTTCCTTCCTCCTTCAAACAATTGCTAGGGATATAATTATCCTTCCATTCATTTTGCAGGAAGTATTCCCCCTTCTATAAGCCTTGCTCTTCACCCACCCCTTATACTTCTTCCTAGGTTACATCCCCATGGGCTTGTCACACCTTTTTCAGTAGCTACTCCTGACTAAGCCAAGATTAGTTCTGGGAATACCAACCTGAGTACCCAGATCTGCACCTGTAGCAGCAAAAGTGGCAGAAAGGCCATGCAGGGGACTTCCTTTTCAGGACAATGACCTATACTCTGTTCCCCCTAGCTGGTAGCTTCACCTTTACCTGAAAGACTCTGGAAGAATAAGGCTCATTTCTCCATCAGTCCAAGTATTCCAGGCCTATGTTACCTAGCACCAGCTGAAACATGAATGCAGACAAAGCAGTCTGTAATCCAAGGCATAGCAGCTGGATGCAGACAGCAGGGAAGGTCCTACCAGGAAGCACCACTGCTCTGCAAGGCCTCACCTCTGCAAGGCAGCTGCTTTCCTAGGGACAGGCTTTCTGGAGGCACTGTGACAAAGCTGAGTTGCAAAGTGGTCTCCAAGAGAGGAAGGAAATGGCTTTGCATGGGAAAGAATGCCAAGCAACTCATCTGAAGAATATAATGGCAGGGTAATAACACCTTGGAATGACAGCACCTTGAAGCAGCCAGGGGCTGGCCAGCCATTCAGCATGGCAGCAAGTGTGGAACATGCCAGGACAGCCTTGGAATGATCCATTCTTTCAATAAACAGAACTGCTCCCCTCTACCAGGACATCTCTAATACAAACCATGCCCAATAGAAAGTAACATCTACAGCCAAACAAGATGGCTCAGCTGCTTCCCAGCTTCAGGGAATTTTGCTTCTCAGGCATCAGGAATACAAAGACTGCATGTCTTAATCATTTCTTTCTTTCCACAATATCCAGACTCACAGCAGCCAGCGCCCAAGCAGAGAGATTGCAGTGTACCAACATGCCACATACAGCTCTTCAGTCAAGTTTTAGTTTACAGGACACAATCATGAAAAAATAAATACATTGGACTATATCCAGAGTTTTGACAAAACACACACATATTTTCTTTGCCACAGTTACCACCCATATTGTCTTTTTCCAAATAACTTGTGCAGGTCAAGGAGTGAGTGAAAACAAGCAGATGGACTCAGTCCTTCATGATGCACAATGGGGACTGAAGAGAAAAGGGACCTAGAGCTTCCAGGGGCTCAAAGCATCCTGGATTTCCTGCTTGTTGTTAGTCTGCTGTGGGCTTTGGACTTCAGCTGTATAGCTTATAACCTTTTGTACTCTAAAAGGTGAGTTATGTGCATGTGAGTTTGGTCCTCCATCCTGCTGCCCTCACCGTAGTGCAGCAATCTTCCAGCTCTTGTCATGCCAGGAAGAAAGTTCAAACTCTGTGTTTACCAGCTCTAACCACCATTTTCTAAGCCTTCCAGACAGGTCTGCAACACACACACTCTCCTCATAGGCTTTAACACTGAAATGCTGGGAGACTGGCAGTCACCCAAGCAATGTGGATTATCCAAGGACAGGAATCACCAAAATGCTTCCTGGTTTGCAGGCACCAGTGAGGAGACTCCTGATTCCAAAATCAAAGATGGGGAACACTTTAATCACAGACCAGAAATACAGCTAAGTGATAAAATCTTTCTGGAACATCAGTGGAGGCATGGGAAAAAAAAAACAAACAACAAAACAAACCAACCAAACTCCAGATTAATACATGTCCTTCCCACAACAATGGCCAGTGGTTTCCTTGATTGCCACACAGAGCTCATAGCCCAGACTCTTAACTGGACTACCACCAGTCCGCTAGGAAGAGGAGAGAGATTTTGCTTTAATAAATATTATAGTCTATCCACTTGTTGAGAAATAATTGCTCAAAGCAACAAATGTCATTATCTGATCTCCTGGACAAATTAAATGTTCACTAGAATCACTGAATCACTTCTGGTTTTATTGTGACACTGGAAATATTCTGAAGTACTTTTCTAAAGGCTTAAGGGCAAAAAAAAAAGCAAGAAATTGCTTTGATCCATCTGCTACCATCTGCTCTAGATATGGACTGCATACCCACTATTCAGAAATGCTGCCTGCATTGGACACCATCCATCTTGGAATATTCTTTGAAGAATTTACTGGAGTATGTGGAAAGTTGTGATAGAGACAGCTTCACACTCCCAGATTTCTACAGCAATATACCTCAAAATGCTCACATCTATTTCTGCATGAAAATCCAGACTATTCCAGGCAAGAGAGGAGTGTTAAACATTCACCAAAGCAAGATCTGAATTACGCAAATGGGCAGAAGCATTTGGATACCTCTTCACAGAAAATGTATGCTAGCATCTGGGCTAGCTGCAAAAGCATCATCTGAGCTTCCCCAACAGAAAGCTGTCATACATCTGGTGATGTAGCTATTCACAGCTTAGATATACACCAAGATTCAGCTCACTACCTCGGGCAAGAATTTCAGTTAGTCAAGCAGAGTGAAATACCTGGCACAAGAGGCAAGAGTTAATGGCACACATCACAATTACATAAAACGAGAGCCATGCTTGTTCCCCTTGAATCTTTAAATTGGATCAGACACAACAAAATCAATCTGGCTTGGTCAATTAGGAGCTTAAATAAAATCAAAAAAACCTGCTATGTCTCTAGGTACATAATATGGGAAATATTTGAGATGCTGCAGGTCAGTGGCACAGGCCAGTGTATTGAAAGGGTCATGACTGCACTGCCTTGCAATCTGACCAGATGCAATCACGTCCCCTTGCAGCTGGAGCAAAGCCATACCCTTCCCCACACTGATGCAGTACCTTGGTTTTACCCAGCTGCCATTCTTTCTTGCTGCTGTCATAGGTCTGAAGAAAACCTGCACATACAGCTTTGCTGTTGTCTGAGAGGCTTGGCCCCTTCACAAGCATCTTGTACCTAAGAACAAGACAGAATCTCATCAGATTACAGATGACAGTAACTGCCCCCTTTCCTCTCTCTTCCCAATCTTTTAACTCTAATTATCCTCCTCTCATTAGTCCTTTTTCCTCTGGGACCCTCCTTCTTCATGTTTGCCTTCCAATTTGGAAATTTCCATCCCCCAACCTTTATCTGTTTCTACCACACTGGCAATTATTGTTGCAATCCCAGTAAAAGAATACAAACTCAACAGAATTTTTCAGTAAAGAACAACTGTCTTTTTGAAACACGTGCTTTCATCAGACACAAGTTATTTTGTTCAGTGTAGGGGTGGCATTTAGTGCTCCAAGAGACAAAGGAAGCAATGTTCAGTGTCCCTTCTAGCCTTAAACTTTAAAAAAATCCTTTTGATGTAGCTCATTAAAAGAAATAATCACTTCTTCCAATATTAATCATCAACTATACTGTCCATTAGAATTTTCTTCAGCTGCCTAAAGGTTTTAAGCATGGTATTTTCCTTTTACATATTATGACCAGCTGGGTTTCACAGCATCACACTAGCAAATCTCTGGCAAAGCTACCAAGAAAAAAAAAAAAAAGACAAAGAAAAGAAGACCAAAGACCATCTGGCTATTTTTCCATTCTGACTTTTAGCCTAAAGGCAAGTCTCCAAAAGGCCTCCCAGATCAGTCGATGATATGAGCATTAAGGCCACAGTTAGAAAAACATCCCACAGATGATCCATACCAGAAGAAGCAGTTAAAGAGGGAACAGTCATGTAGAATTCAATACTTTGGGGCTGTTCCAGCATACAATACAGTGAGAGCAATTACCTGCTGAGGAAGTCCTGGAAAAGGCGCCGTACAGGGAAACCCGCTCTCCGAACCTTCACTGTCTCCAGCATCCCTGAGTAGCGGAGCTGATTCAGCACCACATCTGGATTGAAGAGGTTCGGCGCCTAAACAGGGATCCAGAATCAAAACCAAGTAAGTGAGGCAGTCACAGGCTGTGTATCTGCTCTGGTGTAAAAAGCCAACCCTGCATATTTGGGCATGCCAGGTAAAAAGGGGAAAGTTTGGGTCAAGGGGAAAGCAACCTCACAGCACTGCATGGTGCAGAATAAGGGACAAAAGGGAATTGGGCTGATTCTGGGAGAAGGAAAACAGTTTGCAGACTGCACTCACAGTCAGACTATGGTAGGAAAGCAAAAATACAATGTCTGAACACATACAGAGTGCAGAACCCTGACTCAGTTCTCTTTGTAGTCTCTCTTTTCAGTTAAACTGGAGACAAACTATAGAATTCTTTTCTGGCATAAATCCCCTAAGCAGTCTGTCTTCTGCCATATCATTCATGGTTTCAAAACATGCAAAGAAAAGGTTCAGTTCAGATCTAGTTAGCAGCATGTCCTCCCTCCACAGCTCACAGTCCAAGCAAGAGCCAGCCTGTCCCTAAGCACTGTGGCTTGCTCATGATGCATCCACTTCCACTGCCTCAGAGCCAGGGATCTGCAGGAGACAGTGCCTACTGTACAAGCTCTTCATTCCAGAACAGATTTCTCTACAGCCACTATACACAGGAGTGCTTGCTTCTTCTAGCACAGCTCAGAATTCTGCACAAGCCTGGTTAATCCTCCAGGCTTCATAAGCACTGAAAGAGGTGGGAATGGCTATATAATCTCATATTCAGAATGCAGTCTTTCCATCTAATTACCAGGACGAGGGTGTGTTTTTTCTCAACTGAAAAATAACTAGAATTAAAAAGGAAAGGTGGGAGGAACTGCTCTTACCCTCAGTTTGAGGCACCTGCTAGGCATTTGTGCAAGGGCGTGCCCATGCAGGCCTGTGTCACATGCACACACATGGCTGGGGGACACACTTACCTTTTCTGTATTTGGTTTGATGCAGCGGATGAAAAATGGGTTGGAAGTACTGAGCGTGGCCATCAGGGAATGGAGAGAATCCTAAAGATCAGCAAGAGAGACCCAAAGGATCAGTCACTACAGAAGGGAAAGGGGCTACATTTGATGCAATAAGGTCTTCATGCAGCCCTCCCATTCCTAATGTCCTTTGACTCTGCCTACCAAAATTTCATTGACCCACGAGATTCCTTCCTGTCCAAAACATACCCACACAGTCTGCTCTTAAGACTATGGCTATCCTTGTTCTTGGAGCTGTATAGCTTTTGTGAGCTAGTTTTACAAGTCTCTCAAACTTTAAATACAGGAAAACAAAACAGTGAAATGAACAGAAGGTCTGCAGACAATCCAAGTGTGTGAGATTCATACTTGCAAGATCTTCCTAATAAGGTTTTATTGGAATTGTCATTATACCTGTAAAAATGTGGCCTAAAAGGACACATACACTTTGCTGAAACACCCAACCAATATGAAAGATCAAAGAACCTCAAGAACTTCATATACTTAGCAAAGTACTCTTCTCCTCTGCCACTCTGCTCCATCTTATCATCTCACGTTTTACACCAGACAGAAATCCTTGGGGCAGTGGCACTGTCTTTTTTTAGCACTGCAACATTCCTGCACATTTTCAGCGCTGGACACAAAACAAGGATGAATGACTCCTCTTGGCTGCAGGCCTTGCTTTACCCATCTGCTCCTCCCCAGAAGCCTGCTGCTCTCTTGGAAAACATCATACCCTGAACTGGGAACTGACAGTCGGTCTGCGCCTCTGGGTGCCCATCTTCAGTGTCTCTTCACTGCAACGACTGCAGACCCTTTCAAAAAGGTCATAGATGAAGTCCAGCCTAAGGGAGAAGAAAAGAATTAAAGAAGGTGCAAGGCACCTACCACCTGTGAGAAGATGGTTATTATTGTCAGCTACTGCCCTGTCCTATTGTGAAACATCTCATTTTTGTACCTGCTGTGCCAGAGGAAGCAGTTCAGCTGGCACTTCAGTGAGGAAATTAATACTTCCCACGTGGCTGCCCAGATCCTGTGGGCTGCCCTGTATGCCACACTCAGCTGCAAAGCCAGAAGTCCCCTCCCACACTTTCAAGTAGGATATTACACAAAGGAAAATCTCCCTTCTGCACTGGCTAGGACACCTCCCTTGAGCAAGGAGGGGATACTCAAGGGACACGTCCCTTGAGCAAGCATATGCCCCCAGGCAAAACTACCTTGAAGATATGCCAGCTGCACTGGGGCTGTCATGCCTCCCAAATCATGATCAGCCCCCATGACATGATCACAAAATTGGAAGCCCAGCTCTTCTGTGGCCAGAGGAGTTCTAGAGCTGCCTTCCATGTAGCTAGCCCTCCAGTTCTAGGGAATCTTCCACCATTTTGCCACTCCTGAGACATTGGTGCTGGTTCTTACAAAGTTGCACAAAGTTCTTCAGAGCTGCTTGTACCAGTTTATTGTTATGGCTGCTTCTGGCTCAACTTCCCTTCTGGCATGTTGAAAAAGCCTGAGTCCATCTATTATGCTGGACAATAACAACCACAATTCTGGCCTCAAGCCTCATGTAAAATGTTCCCCAGATGCTACTGTCCAAGTAAGACAACTATGAGCAGCTCATAGTCTCAGCTCCCTCAGGTTGTTTCAAAGCTTCTCACTGCACACTCTGCAGCAGCTTCAGAGAAGATGCAGTTCTGAAACAGTCTCATCAGGCTGGAGCCCAAAGGCAATACATGGACTGTGGCAAGAGGCACATGGTAGAGTTGCTGCTCAAAGACTTGTAGAATCCTCTGTAGTATTAAATCCTTCCCTCCTACTAGGCCCTGCTTCTGTTTCCCAGATCTTGCTCAAGATCAAAATTAGCTTATTTCTCTAAGATCATGTTGCAGCTCTGGGATATAACATTAGAGTCCATGCCCAGTCCCACAGCAACAGCTCAGTCTGGCTCAGGATAAGGACAGATGATTTCCACTAACAAGCAGGCTGGAAAACAAGCAGCATCTGTACAAAAGCTGGCAACTGACAGCATGGCAAAGAGCATTGACTCATTCAGGGGAAGCTTTGCCATTGTAGGTATAGGGAGATAAGAGGAAGAAAGAAAAGGGAAGGGGAAAGGGAAAAAACCAAATTGCCTGAAGGGATGCCTGTCATGCTGTTAAAGCTCTTTTTAAAACTGGGACAACATGAGTCCTGATTAAATCTGTGCCTCATCTGACTTCTCCAGCTCTCCTTTCTTCTATCAGGACATTTCAGCACAAAGAGAAGAATGATTAAGAATTATGCCTGATGCTCTGGCAAAAGCAACTTCTTTCCTTGGTCTGGTTTAATACATGAATGCAATTGGTTCTGCCCAACAGATGTGGCCTCCTGACAAGCATACCTGCTGTCTTTCAACATGTTTAAAATGTCATCACGAAAGGTGTCTCTGTTCTTCTCCAGAAAGCCTCTCACATCATACAGCACCTGCAACACAGACACAGCCACTAGAGCAGCACCTTACAGATCATGAAGTCCTTCCACATTTACATGCCAATGTACAAGACCTCCAGCAGAGCTACACAGGAACACTGCAGGTATGTGCCAAGATCTGGATTTCTGGGGTCAAAGAGCTACCAAGTTCTGCAGTTACTGGCAAGACAGTGGCTTTTAGCCATCAATTAAAAAAAACAAACACAAAAAAACCCCTCAAAAACAAGAGCCAAGTGAAACAGCTGCAAAGATTTGCCTGGCAGGAAAAGTCTGTGGGGAAATCCTCTGCAAGGTGTGAGGTACTCTATTCACTTCAGGAGAGTGAAGAGAATGGCCACCCAGTGCCCCAACTTCCCAACCACAAGTGCTCAGCAGATTATTTTGGGAGGAGGTTAGCCCTTCTTTAATGTGCAGGTGTCCGCCCTTGACACACCCTCATCTGCTTCATATCTCTTCACAATAAAGAGCAACATTTAACCTTGAAGGGTCAGGAACCTTTTTCTTTCTGCAATAGGTATTCAGTCTTTCCTCCTCTTGAAAAGTCAAATTTTCCTTGTGACTTTTCCTTTAAGTTTTCTTTGTTTGTGAATGTCCAAGAAAAGGTAACATGAATAACAAAAGTAAGGAGTTTATCCCCCAAACAAAAAGTTACCTGAGAAGCTCAAAAATCCAAGTTGGAGAATATAGTACTGCAGAGTGACATGCTATTTTAAGGCCATCACACTCGTTGTGCTCTGGTATGGGACATCAAATGTGTGGAAACAGAGCTCAGAGATGTTCTTGGTTTTTGGAATCTAGAATTGAGGACCTCAAGTCCAGAATATACCAAGCATCTCACAAACACATCATGAACACCTACCTCCCCTGCGTAATGTCTTATGCCAAACTGATGGTCTGTCACCCGAGGCTTCACATAGTAGGGGTTGCTCTGAAATGAAAGAAAAAGAAGTTGTCTTATAATGCTGGTATAAGAATAAAAAGTCAGTCAGGAACTCTGCCATGACTATGACAAGGCTGGGATGGGCAAGGACCTTTGCTCTTGCAGAGCCCGACCACATCTGCTGCAGCTGTCTGCAGCTACATTGCAAATATATTACTCAAATTTAAGATGGAAATATCCAGCCCTTCAAGGCATTTCTCATGTGAGCAAGGGCTTGCAGAATCAAGGCTGCAGAGGCATGCCATGGATGAAATGTTTATTCTTGTGTGTCTGACACCTGAGGAGACTGAGCTCCACACAAACCATGTGGTGCAGGACACAGGATCAGGATGCAGGGAAGATGGCAGCTTTGCATAACACCTCCACACCTTTTCTTCATCAAAAGAAATAACATACCAATTTCCTGTCTTCCTCTATACTTTATCTTTCCTTGCACCTCTCTTCCCCTACATTCAATATTCAGTTTTCCTTTCTCTTTTTCCTCTCTCATTTTCCCCTTCCTTTCTCTGTTCTGTGAAAACCATTTTAACTGATTAAGAGCAGCCATGCTGCTCTAGACCAACAGTCTATCCAGCAGTATTCTGCCTCTAGCACTGGCTATGTAGGATAGAGTACAAAGAAAGGAAAGTAAATCATACTTTCATCCTAATATTCCCTCAAACTCTAATTCTTTCTATGAGGCCTGCCTAACTAGTAACCCCAAAGGGATTTCTCTTTGAAATACTTGCTCATTCCACAAGTGAACCCATGCAGACTTCTTGCATCTGGAGTGTCCTTTCACAGGGAGCTCTCAAACAACTACATGTGTGGAACTAGAGCTGTTTGGATTTAAGCCTGGCTTCCATTAGTGCCATTAATCTTCTATAGGCCATGTGTGACTTTTACACCCATCACACCCACCCAAGATGTCTTGTCTCCACACTGCAGGTCCCTTCAATGCAGTTTTCTGCAGCACTGAAGCTGTCCCAGACCTGCTGTTTACCAGGTCTGACAGAAGCTCTCCACGAGTGGAGGGGCCCCATGGTGTATGTGGTTCAAAGTGAAGGTGATCTACAGACTATACAGTTCCATAGCAATGCTTCTACTTTTACTGTTGGTTTCCTGGGAGCTTTTACTACTTCTTTTGGGGATTTTTATTACTGCTGAGCCCCTTGCTGGTATTTCCATGGAACTCCATCACAGCCTCTGTCTGGGTGTCACTCCCGAAGAGCAGCAGTCAGTTCAGAGACCATCATTTCAAAGGTGAAATCAGGACTCTTTTCCAAGAGAAATTTATCTATTCTGCTTTTCATTTTCATTTTCACTTTACAACACAATCAGTCTCATGAGGCCCCTCTCAGACCAGCCTTCCCTGTGAGTCAGCAGAAATCCTCAGTGCTTGTAGGAGACTGTCTCACTTGTAGGCCCTCCTGTCATTAAGGTAATTGACCTTTTACATTCTGTGAATTTACCCAATTGTGAAATCAGAACTATAGGCCTATAGTTTCCTACAACACTTTCTAAAAATTAATATAATCCCCCACCTCCTCAGACAAAAGTACTAAAACAATTTTAAGTAACATGTTGCATGATGCTGTTTGTAATTCAGCTCTTTCATCTTCAAGATCTTTTAGCAGTATTTAGCAGGTGGACAGCTTCTGATGCTGATAATTTGTTAGTGCTACTGAAATTTTTTTCATGTGTTTTTCTTTTCACACTGATCCCATTTCATTGCTCTACCCTTCCCCCATACAGTCATCTTTTTCCAACCACAAACTTCCCTGCCTTCCACTCCAAAAATGACTGCTATTGGATCTCTCATGTGGATTGGCATCCTGTTCTCCTCTCCACCAAGCCCTTATATTTCACCCATGCTCACAACACTTTTGGTTCCTTCTGCTATCTTCCCTATTGCTCCTCTCTCCAGTTGTTTCAGAGGTCATATTCTCTTAAATCCCAGCTTTAGGCTTTTCCTCCTTAAGACTACAGCATTCCACAGAAAATAACAGAGAAGAGGGCTTGTTCTCCTCAGGCTTCCCAGCAATGCTGGCTGGATGTCTTCCAATTCTCTTCCAGCCAGCACTAGAGACTTTAACTGGTATAAAAAATGCTTTTGCCTTCAGCAAATGCAAGTCCTAGAGCACTCTCCACTGTTCCTCCCTGCACTTATAACTCAGCCTCTTCCATCTCCTGCAAGCTTCCTAGGGTTCCACGTTAACTGCTATTGCCTCAAAGCAGACAGAGGTGACACTATGGACAGCTTAATGAAAAGGCTACTCAATGCACAGAAATCACCAAAAATAGCAGCCAAAATGTAGTGGGGCATAAAGGAATGCAAAATAATACTGGCAGTCTCATGCTGCTTTACAATAAACCACAGGTACCTTCTTACCAAGGGAACTGCATTCTGGTCTGATTATTTATCTCAGAAAAGAATAGAGAAAAAAATATGTAGACAAATTCAGAAATGAGCAGCAGAAAGAAAGAGGAGCTTTGAAACTTCTCCATTCGGATACAAACTAAAGAGTTTGGGAAAGTTGAGAAAGAAAATTCATAACAAGTGATACATTAAAAATATTCATTAGTTCCATATTAAGAAATACCAACAACAGTTTTTAAAAAATAAGGTAAAACACATTCTCACATTTCTTGACCTGCAAGACAAGGCAAAGCCACAGTGGACTAAATTGAAGGTCTTGATTTAAGCCCAAGGAAAGTATATACTTCCTCAGAGCTGTATGTAGCCAACCAAAAGTCATTGTTATTTCTTCTAACTAAGTAATGAGAATTACTAGCAGAGTTACAATGCATATATGAAAAATGAGAATATCTGCATCTATGCCAATTTTTAAAATTCAGATAAAGGATACAGATTTGTATCTTTTCGGGCTTGGATGAAGCCTGAATTAGATGACTAGAAAACATATTTGCTGACAATGCTCTTACTGAAGTAGTTAATTATTCCATAAGTCCATGCTACAGGCTTTAATTTGCTTTGTTTTCAGTCTATTTGCTATTTAGAACAAAGTGTTGGCTGTACCAGAGACAACAAGGGATTGCTGCAGTCATCTCAGTGGGGTTTCTGTGTCCCCAGGATAGCTTTCTGACCTGCATGAAAAAGTTCCACTACTGTGTCCAGAACACAAGACAGAGGATGAAAGAATTTAATTAATTAGGAACAATAAGAGAGCTTTCATTAAAAGTCATGAGGCAAAAGCCGTCCCCAGCCCCAGGAGACAGATTTGACATGCTTTGGAGCAGACTGCTGTGAGTCAGCTGGCAGGAGAAACCCACACACACTGTGCAACCACATCCTGTGCCTGGGGTGCTGCCTCGTGTCCCGGCGCAGAGCAGCAGAACCTGACCCCATCCCATGCTGCAGAGTCAAACCTCCTGTGCCTGCAGCCTGTGGAATGCACACTCCCTCTTCCCTGTGTGCACAGGAGCCCAAGCTCAGGTTGCTTTCCATATTACTGGTGTTCAGTGCAGCCTTATTAAACACTTGCAGGTTCGGGCCTAAGGCGTTTTAAATTTACTGCACAAAGCACATATTTTACATCAACAAAACCTTCACTTTAGGTTTTGAAATGCTGATGGGGCTAACATACTGATCATTTGCCTGCCAGGTTATTTTCTTACTTACCATATGCTGGCTGTGAAGTTTTTCCAGAAGGGTGTTGTCTGTGCCTTTGGGGAATCGACTCTCTTCATTCACCAAAGCCAGTAGACCTAGTTTCTACAGCCAAACAAGAAACAAGCTTTTACAGTCAGCAAAAGCTTTCACTACACAGCACCAAGCCAAGAACTGGAGATCTGAACAGACCATTGAGCAATAACCCTTGAGTTATACCCAGCAAAACTCAAACTGAAAGCAGAATTCTGGACAGTTAATGCATTCAGCAAGCACATCATAAGTGGAGATTGTTTATAAAAAATTCACATTAAGGTTTTACTTGAATGCTAATCCCTGTCTAAAACTATGACACCCTTCCTAAGCTTACTCTCAACAATAAGCAGAGATCTGCTTTCTTGAGACAGATCCATGGGTAGGACAGCTCATACTTTTGCCAGGTCACTATGGGAAGAGGATCTAAGCAACTATCTGCTTTTAAAACTAGGAAATGTCAGGGAAGATCTCAAGACACTCAGAAGTCCCCACTGATCCCTAGAAAGTGTCACACGTAACTGCTTACCTTCTCAATAAGGTCCAGGCACTCTGCATTATCCATCCAGTCAATGGCTTCCCAGCTTATCCCTTCCCTGACAGACAAGAACAAACAGAACAAAGTTGTGAAATGCAAGATCCAATGTCCTGGGGTGTAGGAGAGCAGAAGTAACTGAGCCTGGCAGCTGTCCCAGGACTCAAGGTGATTTGCAGGAATTAGGCTTTGCTATGGCTTATGGCTGAGGAAGAAGAATAAGGGAAACAATGCACTGCTAACACAAGGAGATGGAAATAAGAGGCAGCCTTTCTTATCCACACCAGTGACATAGACTGATGCTTTTCTTATAGTCATTGAGCAAATTTCCCGTGAATTTTAAGACTGTGCCCTTTCTGGAGTGACAAGCAGCAGCCCACACAGTGGTGATGATGGACAGTTTGCTACACAGCATCAAGAGTCAGCTGCTGACCCACCAATCTGGAAAGCAGGCCTGAAGCACATCTGGCAGAAGACTGAACCACAGCTCACAGGTCCACCAGGAGAAGAGAGTGAAGAGAGTTTCTAGGGAGAGTTTTGAAGAGGATGACACAGATAAGCTTTAGCCTGTCATGCAGGGAGCCTAGAGGGTGGCCCTGCATCTTTCAGAGTAGGAGCTGATGTAGGTACAGTAGTGCATTAATGTGCTTTGAAAATCACCAATGACATCCTGTAAATGCTGAATGTGTTCTTCCCCTTACCATCTTCTTATACTCCCATAGTACAGGATTATGTCTGTTTTCAGAATTCAGAGAAGCCTAGAATAAATCTTAAGAATACAAGGAAGCCTAGAGGCTATGTGTGAAGCTACTTACTGACATTCTGATAACTCCTCCTTTCAGGTGGAGACTAACATTTTGAAGATAGTGGAACTGTTGCCTTCAAATGCTTCAGCCCAGGCTTCATACTTTAATGTTCAAAGCATCAAGATGAGATACATGAACCAACTTACTAAGCCTGAGGGAGCAGAGCTTATGTGGTGAAAGATGAGCTTTAAGTATATTGCCTTAGAATTATTTGACATGTAGTCATTCCTTCCAAAGTTCAGCCACAGAACTTAAATATCTATGCAACCATCAGGAAAAAATCATTTGTCATGATGGCACCATTTTTAATACAAGATTCCTGCAATGGTGGAACTGGCCTGAGAAGTGAGCACATAAATAGCCTTGCAATTTTGTAATCTTTAGAATTTAATGAATTGCCTATTCAACCGTCTCCCTTTACAAGGCTGCTCTCATTTGCCCTCACTGACCCTATTCAATTCCTTCATTCACAAACATAAAGGCTTCTGTTTCAGAGCAACAACTGAAGTATTTGACTAGCAGCCTTCTCTAGAAGCAGAAATACTCTAGAACATCACAGGTACTTCACAAAATACAATCCAATATGAAGCCCACAGAAGAGGAAAAAGCTCTGCAGAAGGTCCCAAGCTCAGCCTGATGTAAATCTTGCTAAGGAAAAGAGTTCTTTTCACAGTATAGGAATCTCTAGGACAGAAAGAGCTGTCAGGTATCTCTATCTTTAGGGAATTTCCTTTTTGCACACCAGGATTCCATCTGCATTGCACCACCACTGCCATAGATAAATTATTACCAAAGTCAGTAACACACCCAGTGACCATATAGTCTAATGGGTTAAAGCCCAGGAACTTTCCATTCAGCTGAGAGACAGAAGGAAATCTGGAGTTTCTGCACACTACAATGGAGAACGCTTTTTCCTGAAAACAAGTGACTTATTCTGGCAAAGCACATGGACAATGCTTAACAATACACATCCACGGCCAGGGTTGTACTAAGGCCCAGCTGTCTCTCCTGCTTCAGTGGTAGGGACTGAGCAGCACAGGAGGAATGATGTCCTCCCTTCTGCTACCCATGAAAGCAGTGGGGCCCCACTCCCACTGTTTGTCACCTGTTGTACTCCAGCTGCTCCAAGGAGAAGATGTGTTTGTTGAAATATTCCTGGAGTTTCTCATTTGCATAGTTAATGTTAAACTGCTCAAAACGATTCACCTGCAAGAAGAAACAATTATCAAATTTTACATTCTTGTTCCTTTAAATATTCCTGGAGTTTCTCATTTGCATAGTTAATGTTAAACTGCTCAAAACGATTCATCTGCAAGAAGAAACAATTATCAAATTTTACATTCTTGTTCCTGAGCTCTAAAAGAATCTATAGCAGCAAAAGGGAAGGTGCCAGGCTTGGAGTAAAGGCAGAGAACATAGTGGTGTCAGGTGGATATGAGGAGGACAGTATGGAGAGGTCCACTAGGAGAACAGCTTTTGTAGCCCGTGCAAGGTTAATTCAGTAAATCTAATTCATAGTAAAGCATGCCAAAGACAATTATGTTTCTCTTCTTGGAAGAAATAAATTCCCTAACTGTTAGGTCACAGGGCTTTATCTTCTATGAAATATCTGAGCAGTCACTCTATGACTGTTCAACATATATCCCACATCAGCTGTAGTTAGAAGCATCACATGCAGGATTCTCCACACAGTGCAAAACAGATGTAAAAAAACAATGTACATGTAGGGTTTGGATAGTTGGTTTGCATACAAATAAAAAATTCTGTATTGTCTATCACAGCAGATCTCCTTAGGGTCTGTATCACAAACCATACAGGCTTGAACATCAGCCTGTATGAATATGGCTGGCAGAAATGGGCAGCTAAATATATCTTCCTGCTTTCAGGGGAAAGTGGCAGGGTAGAGATTCCAGAATTCCCTATGCTATCCTTACCAGGATGCAAACCCACCAAAGTTTCTTCCAATATGCATCAACATCTCCAAAACCAACCCACCCCCCAAAAAACAAAATCCTGACCTGAAAGTTCTCGAAGCCAAAGATATCCAGGATGCCCACAGACTTAAAGTTTTCCTTGCCTTTGATCTTTGTATTAATCTTGCTAATGAGCCATGAAAAACACTGGGAATAGAGTGCCATAGAGAGGGAGTCCCTGGAGTCAGCTGCCTGTAAATACAGAGAGAAAAAATGAGTCACAAAGAGAACAGAAGACATAAGGGCCACACGAATCTCTGTGGAACTTCAGGTTCCTCCACTCCTGTTCAGGATTCTCAGCCTCTGTACTGGCTGTGTACAGTGCAGTATTTATTTTTAACAAGTTTTCAAATAGCCAGGCCACACACAGACAAGCCATAATCTTTGGGTAACTGCACTTGAGAGGGTGAAGGAAGTAACAAAATCAGTGACATTTTTTGGAACAAGTGCTGGGACAGGGAAGGTGGCAAAATACCTCACAACTAAGCCCACAGGAGTAATTTGTATCACCTGAGCCAACATTTGCAGTGACAGGCAAGGTATCTCGGTTCAGTACCCCTAGCAGAGCTGTCAAATGGGTGTCTGCTCAGTTTTCAAAAAACTGGTAGGGCAGGATTTAATAGAATATTCTGTCATTAAGTTACCCTCAAAAATTCCCTTTCCAAAACATTCCTGCAAACAGCATTATCCTACTGGAATCCAATTAGGCTGGCCAACAGCCAGGACACATGGCCCAGAAGTTCATGGGTTGAAACTTTGCTGCAGTTGACCCAACATCCCATTCAGATACCATAACCAAGTGTCACGCATGGGAAAAATAACTTAAATCTTAAATTAACTTAAATTGCAATCACTAACAGGCAGTAGATAACTGAGTGTATGTAAGCATGTGGATGAACATCCAAAATCAAACTTCTGGTATCTCAAGCAAAAGCCTACTACTGATAGCTGCCCAAGGAATGGGCTGGTTGCATATTTTGATAATACTTGGACAAACAAAAGAGGCACACCTTAAATCTTCCAATTAATAAAGAGACATGAGACAGAACGACAAATTGGGAGTCTGATGTCATGTGCAGTCCTTCTGCACATACACTATTTAGAATGGGAAACCAGAGTTTAGGGTTCTGGAAAGACGAGAAGGCCAAAAATAAGGGTCCCTAACAAGAAAACATGATCTCAGAGGACAGAAAAAGGAGCCAGGAGAGAAGATGGCAAAGATCATGACTGGAAGAAAGATGCTGGAAGGGGGGAAAGATCCTGGAGATCAGAAATATGGGGATAAATGTCAGGGTAGGCCCAAGGACTTTGGCTGGTAGTACTGAGACTGATAACTGCAACTGCACAATATAAACCCAGAGAAGCTTTTGCCCAACCCTCTTGGACAAGCTGCAAACTCCCAACTGAGAAAAGGAGTTGACATCTAGAGAGTTCCAGAGAATGTAATGCTGAGGGGTGAGCAAGCCAGTACATGAAATAATCAAGTAGGGTGAAAGCTGTAATCTTGTCATTTCGTAAATAAACTGCAGTAAATAGATTACAGGTTGTTTCCCCTGTCTTGCCTGTGACACCAGCAGGGCAATTCCTTCAGTAGGCCAGACCAGCAATGACAAATACACCCGAGCCCCCTTCAGTTTTACAACCCTAAATAACATGAGCTCTTTGCTAATGGCACAGGTCAACTGTTTCTGATCCCTTCCAGTGTCTCACAAACTTCTGAGGCCCAGCCTGCCAGACCCTCCTTTTCACCCAACCACATTTCTCCTCCTTTCTCTTCCTTGGTACTATTTCCTCTTCAGCAGCTCAAAGCTGACACAGAATAACCTCCTTTCTGCACTAAAGAGAACATTTCAAAGCATGGGCACACACGCCTTTTCTGGCTATTTCTTCTTTCCATCAGATGATCTGCCTTATTGGTTGGGACTTAGAATGCCCTCAAGGCCATGCCTCTGTAGTGTATCTGGCTACACAGTAAGTTGGACACATTTTCCAGGAACAGGACCTCCCCATCCAGCTGTAAGCAAAGCCACTTTCCCCACAATATGGCTCAAATGAGATTCTCAAAGGCGCCTTTCATCCTGCCAGCTTTGCCTGCCTTTAGGCCAGTTCATCCTTCAGCCCACTGAAATGTCAAAGCTCAGATGGGTAATGAGCCCATTACATAATGAGAAATCCCCAGCAATGCTACCCCACCAGTGGGAATAGATGGGTGCAGCACTTAGGGCTTAGGCAGGAACAGCCTTTACAGGCCCAGTGTTGAGTGCAACAGGCTCACAGCTAAATGGCAGCATCCATTTGCTATCACAATTTTCTTGTAGCCTTGGTACTTCACTGGGCTCCAAGCAGTAAGTGTGGGGTCCAATACACACACATGTCAGGAACAGCTATACCAGCAGGGAAAGCTCTGTTCAGGGAGACTCTGTCAATCCTACAACTGCATGCCATTGCTGTGGACTGCATGAAGTGCCTCTGGTATTATCTGTTATCCAGCCTTACACACTGCTAGAGAAAGATGTGGCTTATTTAGAATTGACAGCTGAGAAAAAAACTGTGGTGTCTGATATTGAAAATATCTACCACAGACTACAGGCTGGAAAATATTTTTCACAAAATTTCACTGCAAAGAAAGGTCACAGACTATGCAGAAAAAGGAGACCGTTTCTGAAAGGCAAAGCTTTGTTTGTGATATATTAGCATGTGTGTCTACAGCAAGAAAATAAGCAACTACACTACCATAATGAGCACTGCTGAGACTTCAGCTTGAACACAGTGCCCAGTTAGGGGCACTCCACTTCTTAAAAGATGTGGGAAAACAGAGACAGAAGACAAAGAGATTTAGAAAATTACTTACAAGGAAGCACTGAAGGAACTGGATTGTTTAGCTTAGAAAAGAGAACACCACATGAAAAACTTCACAGAAGCCAAAGCTTGTAAGGTGGACAGCTGGGATGTCAAAGGTAATCTAAAATATGAGGAAAATCTTTTCAACTCCAGACTCCACTGCAGCTAAAGCAGGATACTTAAAGATGCTGTGAAATTCCTTCCATGGGAAATCTGAAGGAAAGTTAGACAGACATCCATCAGAGAGAGTCTAGTAACTCTGGCTTCTCTGCCAATGTAGGTGTTGGATTGATAACCCTCTGCAGTCTGTGCCAGCACATGATTTCCATTACAGATGTTCATTTTGCTATAACATGGGGCCTTTTCCATCCTAGTAATAGTACACCCTGTCTTCCAGTGTCTTACATTTTATTAGTGACAGAGGATTTTCTACAGTTATCTGTGCATGGCCTAAAACACCAAGAGTGCCCTCAAGTGATCAGCAGCACCACAAGAGCTGCATATCAGTTTATGTGGTCCTCCTTTGTGGTTGTATGGATCCAGAAAGAAGCTGCTGTGGGGTAACAGCCCAACATCTGCCAGATATTTTGTGGGAATTGTGTGCCAGCTTTTACCTTCCAGTAAACACAGCACAGCCTGGAAGTTCTGCAGGTTAAAGCATGCACACATGCAATTACCACAAAACATCTGATGCACCATCTGCATGACACAAGTATGACCAGCTCCTGGTGAGTGAAGATGACTTAAAACCAGTATTGTGCAGGTGAACTCCCCTGTAAAGCCTGAAAAGCAGAGTCAACACTGGGACCTGAGCTACCAATAAGGGCAAAATACCTGAGAAACAGGAGGCCCTAGGCTGGAATGGGTGACACAGAGGAAGACTCAGGACCTGGAAATGCAGAAGTGGCAGAAGTGGAAGCATACACTAGGACATTACCTGCTCCACAGTGAGAGGGGAGCTGATCTCTTCCCCACGCAGAATCATGGACCTCTGTGTCAGCACTTCAGAGAGCTGAAAGGCGTCCAAGCCCAGGAGGTCACTGGCAACATTCAGAACTAAAAGGAAGACACACGTTTTTCTCCTGCATGGATCCCCATCACTCATAGGGATATTTTTACAGGGTGGTCAGGAAATCCCAGGGACTTCTACAAAACAGGTGACTAAACTCCAGCACAAAACACATTCCCTCTTACTTGATTCTCCTGGGCATACCCAAGGCTGTAGGCTCACATACCCAGTCTGGGGCTCATATGCCCATTATAGAGCACAGTCAGGTACTCATGTAAGTCAGCCTTCCTGCTGACAACAGGAAGAGCAAAACCATGGGCAATACTCAGCACCAGCAAAACACTGCATGAGAAGACATGTTTTGTAAAAGCACAATACTGCAGTCTGAGCATGGGATTGCTAAACTTGGATGTTAAGAAGAAAGACAATTAACTTTAGACTTGAAACACTTGTAATACATTTTTAGCTTCTGTCTGTTTTGGGACTTGCTTTGCAGACCATCTCAGATTAAATAACTGTAACAGAGTGCACACTAGCAACTGCTTCAAATGAAGATGGGGGAAAGGCTCTAACAGAATACTTTTATCTCAAACTCCTTCCTGATCTATTTCTTCCATCTCTTTCAATTCAAAAGAGAAACTGTGAGGCTGTGGACTCAGTCTGAGAATATCGAGGAGCACGAATGGATCACAGGGCCACAGACCAACTAAATCCCACTGGTGCCCAGGGGCAATGCATCCTGTGGCAATGCTTCTGTAGAGTTCAACTACAGGGAACCTGCTGGTGAAGGTACTACAGACCAGCATAACAGAGAGAGAAAGGAATAGGGAGAGGGCTTTATTGGGCACCTTATGGGGTTTTGCATGGTCTACCAAGTTGCTAAGGTCCTACTTACCTGCTTTTGTTGTAATCTGGGCCCCACCAGCTGTCATGAATTCAACATTTCCCAAATGAAGTGTGCCAGAAAGAAGTTTGAAGATGTCTCTGATTTCTTCAGTGCTGAAGTCCACCACCTTCATGGCAGTCTGTGCAAAACCAAACAGCTAATGTTAGTGGTATGTGCAGCCAGGTACAATGCAACCACCAGAGCCAGGTCCAGTGTGTGTAAGATGTAAAACTCAGAATTACAGTCACCATGAATACAAATGAAATGGGATGGCACAGCACCTCTCTGAGCTATACATTTGTCAATGATCTTTACTGTCTCCCATTCTCTCTTACATTTACTCTATTGCCACCTAAGGCAGGTGGGCATTGTCCCCATCCTCAGGTTGCACTTTGCTGCCACCACTGACAGTCTGTCACAAGAAAGAGAATGTTTGTGCCTGTGTGAGGAAATCCTACCCTGAACACTGGCAGCACAGGTTACAGATGTTACTGGATGGCTTCCACATTCTCACTTATTTTCTTCCCTGAAGGATGGATCCATATAAGATACTTAATTTACTCTGATCCACATAACCCCTTTAATTCATTCTTAGTATAGTAGATTTATGCAGCAAGATTTAAAACCAGGCTTTCAGCATTAACTGTTAGATGGTTGGAAAGAGATTATCAGATAATGAGGAAGTATGGCACATTCCCTCTTAATGCCTGCATGTGAGCCAGGGATTTTGGGGCATAAATTGACTTTGAGAGGTAGGGCCTAGTCTTCATGCATATACCCTGTCATGCATATACCCTTCATGCATATACCCTGAGTGGGGCACTCTGGGCTTCTAGCTCCCTTCTTTCCTCCAGCATCTCTTCAGCTGAAGAATAAATGCCATATTGCCATTGAAACTTCTGCTGTACAGGTGCCTCCCTCCCTTAAATCACACCTAACCAGGAGGTACTGAAATCCTAAGCTGACTCTACTCATCTTGCCTATCAGGTTTCACCGACATTATTAAAGCTTTCAGGCCAACAAGTGTTATCAAACAAAACATGAATTTGCACATTCATCCTGCTAATCCCTCAACCTCTGATAAACAGGTGTCTTTTAAACCTCTGTGATATTTCAGAATAGGTGATTTGCCCAGGTGATATAACTTCACTGGAATATTTCTGGAGAACAGTACCTTCAGACCAAACTCTTCCCTTTCCAATGGTCAGTCTGAGGTTCCCAGAATCAGAGAATCTAGGAGGCACCTAGATTCTGCTCCCCCAAATTTTCTATCATTCTAAATTATCACTCATATTGACTGTTTTCCAAATCCCCCCATTTTTGTACACTAAAGCAGCTTTTTGAATCTTGTTTTAGCTGAGTTTTGGACTTGTTGAACACCAAATTTTAGCTTAAGGCAAATCAATTCTGCCTGTGAGATCTAGACCATGCAGCATGTTTACTCCATGAAACTGTGCCCGAAAGTTCAGGAGGAGTTAGGACTGGACTCACCATGACCTTCCTGAACATCTCTACATCATTCAGGTTCTCATCAGTCACACAGCCAGACTGGTTCAAGTAGCGATAAGTCTCTGGCTCACACAGGGAGAGGCTCTCTGCAACAGAAGAAAAAGAGGCACGGGACAGACAACAATTTATTTAGCAACCAGTCCTTTAGTTCATAGAAGAGGAGGGTGGGAGGGTGTGCTGTAACAAAGCTTGCAAATGGTGTGCAAAGTAATTTAGAATAGTCAAATCCCAAGCTGCAGAGTCTCAGAAGAATATGTCAATACTGAATTGACTCAAGAAAAAAACTTTTAATTCTAGCTCCAAAGGTGTACAGAAAAACAGTCTTAACTGTATACATATGGTAATGACCTCTAAATTAGATATCATCATTTGACACAGAGTTCAGAGAGTCACTGTCAGATTTCTGAAGACATTCAGTGCTAAGCAGTAGTTAAAAACTGAGCATAGTTCACAAAACTAAATGTAAAACCAGAATTAGGTCTCTGTATATTTGCTGTGCACCTAAACACTATCTGCAGATTTGATCCCCCATTTTGTAAAGAATGTAGGAGAACTAAAAGATCAACGGAGAAAGGAGACAAGGATGATCAAGAGCCAAAACCACATTACAGATGGGAGGTGAAGCTGCCTGGGACGCCAGCTTGGAGAAGTAGATGGGGAGGAATAGCAGAGATCTCCTGAAGACAGGAATCTGTTCTGTATGTTTTCCCTAAGCAATTGATAATAACCACAATCCCCACTATTTTCCTTCGCTTTAGACTGATCTCTGAATTGACCTAAGTAGCCATTCCTGCACGTACCCCCTAAAACTGAAATCCTACTCCCTTCTACTCTGTCAGGCCCAAATCTTCCATCTGATTATCCTAACACACAGAAACCAAAAGCATAAAGAAATTCCCCAGGCCCTCAAAACCAGAGTACAACTGTAACATGTTCCTGCCTGCCTATCTGACCTCTCCAGAAACACCATCAGTGCTCAGCAATGCCTGGGACAGACACACACAAAAGTTGTTAGGGGGATGCTGCACTACAGGGAGGATTTGTCCACAGGCTGCAGCTGCCATTGTCTCTGTGTGCACTTTTTCAGACTCACCTCTCTTCTCCAGATATAGAGCTATAAACCCTTCGTTCAGACACAAGACATGTTTTATGTAGTACTCTAGTACCTTCACTACATCACTGATCTTTGTAATTCTTCTCTCTACTATTACCTATACTGAAGATTTGTTCTAAAAATATATCAGTCCATCCTTTGAGCTCCTTGAACAGCTCCCACCAGCAACTGAATCAAGACTCTTTACCCTTCCTCTGCCTCTAGCCAGTTCCATCACCTCATGACTCTGTACATACTTTTTTCTTCACCAGAGAATGCCTGAAGTCTTTTCTCATAAGGAATTTGTGTAATCCTCAGCCTCTTTCTCTTTCTGTTTCCCACAAAATCACAAAATGGCTCGCCTTCAAGAAGCAGCTACATATCAAGTACGTGAACTATCCATGCTCTAACTGACTTACACCTGCTTCACATGTTGGACTGGAAAGAGCACAAGAGACATATCCCAGAAAATGAAATTACCTTTCTCCTCCCCGCTCACACCAGCTAGCAGAGCATAAAAGATGTGGTAATTCCGCTCCCCAGGGTTCTGATGTACCACCCTGTTCTGAAACAAAGAATACAAGAGTAGCCAGCAGGAAAAGATCAGACTTGTGGTTGCAAAGACCAAGAGAGGTCCAGAACACAGGTAAATCTCCAGGGCCAATGCACAAGAGGGGTTTCTTGCTATTTAATGATGGTTTTGTCTAAGTAAATTCTACACCAAGATCTTTGTGGCTGTGCAACTGAGCATACACATTAACAAACTGAACTTTGTCAGCTCTGGCCCTGCTCCTCAGTGAATTCCTGACTCCAAAGTAAACCACATCCAATCAGAGATGCCTGCTTTTGGAGTTGTACCCCATATGCTTCTCTGTGGAGCTACGTTTCCAGGTACTTCTCTCTCCCTTTCTCCTTGGTAAACAGTTCTTTCTTGGAACCTCTGTGTAATGTAACCTCTGGGACAGTTGCAGTAGTAACAGCTCAGGAGCTGATGTCTACATGCTGCAGTGCAGACAGCCTCATCCAGGAACTGATCTGGCACTGCCACACCTTCTCTGAGGAGAGGGCTCACCCAGCACTCAGTGGAGGTGATACCTACCTTTTCCAGTAAATCTGAATAGCAGGTTAAGGAAAAACCATCCAAGTGACAGAAGCACAGATTTCTTGATGATAGGCAAAAAATCTTCTAGAAACATTGGGATGAACCCTACAACCAGCAACAAATCATTAAATAACTGACACTTTGTAAAGCCAGTAGAGTGGTGCTAAACATCATCTTAGATCATCCTCTCTATTCACTGTCCAAGGAGGTATGATGTGCCAAAGAGACATTTAAAAGGGCAGGGCCAGGTAGAGCATAGATAACCTAACAAAATATGAGCCACATTAGGGACACCTAGAAAGATTAGAGGCCGCTCTTATCTGAAAGCCTGCATTGCACACAGCAAGTCTTGCATCAGTTCTCAGTGCTCTTGCAGGAGACCACTATCTTAAATCTCCTGACAGCACAAAGAGCAGAGGCCAAACAATCCAAGCCTGTCATTTACAACAGCAGTAAATTCATCTGGCTGCTCCTCCAGAGCCAATTGGTGTGGTTTGCAGTCAGCAGCAGCTTTGAACATACATCAGGGAACATAGCCAGGGCAGCTTTACCTCCCTCATGGAGACAAAAGATGTGTCAAAGCCTTTGGGAGAGGAGTACCTGGCCATACTGGGAAGAAAGTCATCATGGCTCAACACAGTTTGACTATATCCAGTCTTCACTGTCCTTCTTGTCCCTGGAACAGGCTCCCCACAGAAGTGGTCACGTCACCAAGCTCATCAGAGTACAAGGAGCATCTGGACAGTGTTCATAAGTCATATGATTTCATTTTAGGTAGTCTTGAGAGGAGCAGGGAGTTGGACTTAATGATCCTTATGGGTCCTTCCCAACTTGAAATATTCTTTGATTCTATGACTAGGGTTCCAAGGCCCACTGAAGATGGCAGCCCAAAACATTCTCTTCTGCACCCAAATATTTTGCAGAATATATTTATTCTTACTTTGGTCTCATTTTTCTCAATCACAAATTCATGATGGTAGAGCTAAGATAAGTGAACAATTTTATGTGGAGCAAACAGAATGTAATCAACCTAGGGGATCCTCCAAGATAGACAATTCCAGGGCTTTAAGTACCGAGTGTTGAGATTAATGAAGTGAAAAGTCAAACTATGCCCCTACCTAATGCAGTACTGAGAGAAAAGGTTCCCAGAGTTAGGTGCTGCAGAGCCACAAAACAAACACTTATTCCCTGTTTAAGTTGCAAATTTGCCCACTATTATAAATTGACTTTGAAGAACTTGATGAGGGATTTCCTGACCTACACTGAGCTCGTCCTGGTCTTTGCTCACTCAATCCAAATCCATTTCTGGTGCACTGCAGAAAAGGATACAATCAGTGACTCGGCCTCCCTGGATGTGCCCATGTTGAGAGAAGTGCAGCTGGATGAACTTGCCAAAGCGGCTGGAGTTGTTGTTATAAACTGTCTTGGCATTTCCAAAGGCCTCCAGAATGGGGCTGTAGAAACAAGGCAATGAAGATATGATTAGTGATGGGATACGATTAAAACGAGTCTTTTGACATTTGCATGCTGTGTTCTGCCCCAAGAGATTTATTTGTTACAGCACCAGCCTGGACAAGCACAAGAGCTCAAGGGAAAGGTAGGATGGCAAGAGCAATTTAACATGCTGCTAGATAAATGTTAAACCTTTGGGATTGCAGTTAATTAAATCAGTCTCTAGTCTGTATGGGCAGCTGGTGCTCACGCTGTCAAGGGCATTCCCCACCAGTGTGGCTTGAGGAAATGAAAGGTGGCAAGAGCCAGCCAGGCTGTGTCCTCAATACAGCACATCCCATGAATGCGAGTGTACTTTTTCAAGGATTTTCAGAAGCATCAGACATATATGGCAAACACTCTGTAGCTTTAAACCACGTACTTCTATATTCATTCTACATTTTTTCATTCTGCCTTTGATAAACTATCTCTTAAAATTACAGGAAAACATCTTCAAACTAACAAACAGTAACAAAACAATTTGTTTGTTATTTAAATTTCATACTGGAACACACAAGCCCTTGTTACCTAAATCTTGCTTAGGCTGATATAAGCTACATGGTTTCCAAGTAGAGGGACTATAGACACACTATAGATTTGGAAATTACATTCTAAGAGAGCATCATCATCCATTTCAGGTCAAAAAAAATAGGCAAAAAAATCTATCACCAAACATCAGACCAGCCATTAATTGAAGAATTTTGTCTGCTGTTCGCCTTCTCATCTTCAGGAAAAAACAGTTAAAATGCTTGGTACTTGCTTCTCAGAACAGTACAAGGGAAAAGCCTAAACCACTCAAACTGACACACAGAATCCAGGATTAAAATATTTATTTCTGCAATTAAGCCAATTCTAAAATAATCTGAAGGGCTGACAAGCAAGGAATCACAGAGGTGCTATAAGAACAGCCTGTATGTTTTCATGTCTAATTTTAAAACATACATAGTTTTAAACAAAAGTTATTGCTGTTATTACCCTGAGAAATACTGGCTTTTAAACATCTCCACAGATCTATTGTGCAGTCCCACTGGAGACTGGGGCAGATATGGGATTATTCACAAATTAGTAAATACAGCATAAAAAATAACCACAACTAGAGATACCCTGAAGTTTGCAGAAGGTTTCAGACCCTGCAAGTGTTAGCTAAGGGAGGGCTGTGCTTAATGAAATAGTCAACAACCTTCAGGAAAATCCAGGCAGTATTTTCCTAACACCTCTTGAAACAATCACTGTCAAGTGACAAGGATAGAAATGAAAATTCCTCTGTTACAACACACTACAACCATTGAAATGCCAGTTAGAGAAATCTCGGTGTGCAGATCAGGGAAGTTTCTTGCCCTGGAGAATTTGAACTCCAAGACCCACACCTCTGAAACAAGTATGCAAATAAGGACATTGCACAGAAATATCCACACCACTGCCATGAATCAACAAAATTAACAGGGACAGACAGGAAAAGGGACAACAGGGTTATATGACCACCACAGATGCAGTGAGAGTGCAGGAGCCAGCTGGCCAATCTTTATGGCTCTAAATCATGCTAAATGATATAAGAAAATCACAAGGAAATATCTTTATAGTTCAGTTTGGCAATGGGCTCACACACACGAGTGCAAAGTCTTTCAGGCTTAGGAGGGGAAATAAGCAGGAGGGTGCCTGAGCAGTTGCAAGGCAGAGGGTGGGGTGAGCTGGAATGGCCAGGAATGAGGGCAGGGGCCCTGGGCTGAGCAAATGGCCCCTGTGCCAGCAGCACATCACAGTGTGGCACCTGAGGCAGAAGTGCACTGCAAGGGGGAGCAGCACATCGGGAAGGTGATGCTGGCTGCTCGCTGGGTGTGGGCAGGATGCACTCCAGCCTTCAAAACAATGGGAACCAGCTTCAGTGGGGCAGCAGAAAGAGAAGTCTGGAGTTCAGAAATACTGCACCATATGCAGCTCAGGATTCTGATGAACAGTTGAAGACAAAAAGATTTGAAGAGTTGGGGGGTGAATAGCAGGAAAGGTGGTTATGCTGTCAGCAGTGGCACCCAACATGGAGAAGGGAGCTTCAGAGTGAAGCAAGCAAGAAAAAAAGCTGAAAGTTAGCAGAATTTTTAATGAACTGATGGATATTTTCAAGAAAGGAGACAAAATCAACAGTGCCAAAGGAGTTTTGAGAGCCTGATTTGTGAGAAATACACCAGGTTGGAGAAATACACCAACACAGGCAAATCATAGAAAGCTGATGAACACTTTGTTTGCAATGCTGTATGAAACTGAGAAAGAATCCAGTGTTATTCCTTGGTATGTGCTGGGCTGCAAGCATGAAAATCCACCATAAGTGAGCCTGAGGAGGGCCAATGTCAGAGCAAGTGCAGCTGAACTCCAAACACATGAGGCAGGGTCCATAGGAGAAGCAGCAGCAGCTTCTGGGTCTGGGCCAGGCCTTCAGCTTCTTGTCTTCAGAGAAAGGTGACAAATCAGATTCTATTGCATTCACACTGCAATAGTTCATGTAGCACTAGAGATGTACACAGAACAGGTTGTGATCTCTAACTTCACTCCAGCTCACAGCTGTGGCATCTTACAGACTCAGGGATCACCTACCCACCATCATAAGCTCTCTGATCACTGTCAAGTTATCACTTCACTGCTAATAGTGCTTGAGCCTTCTAAGCCGCTTGCCTTAAAGCAGATTTTGCAGATCTTAAGTCATGACTGTGCTGCTCTTCAGAGCTTTGTCCAATTTGCCTCCATGCCTGCTAAGACCTGCACACCTGCAAAGGATAAATCATCCAACAATCCAACAACAGTCTCTGGAACACCAGGTCCAAGGGCAGCAGCCCTTCTGCTCAAGGCTGCCCTGCTTTATAAGGACCTAAAACCCACAGTGCTCTCACAGCTGCCTCCTCTGGAAGTTTCTGCAATTATCACAGACTCCATCTGGGACTAATCTGCAAGCTCAGCCTTGACAGTACCAAACTGCAGGACCAGCCAGCAAGGTCCTTCAGCCACAGGCAAGACAGTCAGGAAATTTTAATGTAATTTGTTTAATATAATTCAGGTACTAAGGAAAACAAGGACACAAACAACAAAACAGAAATATCTTTCCTGCCTCTTCCCCAGGCTTACCTGATGTCAAACACCTACTGTCCTCCGTTTCTTAGCCTCAGCTTTCTTTTATAACTCAGGTTACATTCACTCCCTCAAAATTTCCCCCAGCATTGCAGCACAGGAGCCTGGGGTCACACTCAGGACTTCTTCTCTCTGTCATTCTTTGCTTCCTTATTTTCTCTGCTGCTCTCTGCCTCTTACTAGTTTTCCTCAGCCACACTTTTCTTCTTCAGGTTTTGCAGATACGTTTTCCTTTCATGTCTCTGTTCCAGTAGGTCACCTGTGGGCTATGGTCCCTCAGGGGTGTCAGGACCTCTTCTGGCATTAAGTATTTTCCCTGAAATGTGTCTCCATTCCCTCAGTGCTGCCAGCTTCTCTCTCAAACACATTTGATTCAGGCGCTTCTCTGCCTGCCTGATGCCTTGTCAGGGTTTAGGTGGGTGGTGGTTGTTCCCTGGTGCCAGCTCCCATGGATGGTTCTCCATGAAATCACTTGCCAGGACAGCAGGAGAGCTGCCAGGTTGCCCGTGGGATTCCTGAGGGCAAGACAAACCAGCAGCCTGGAACACAGGGAGGCTGGGGGAAAGCAGGGGCTCATGGAGGAAACCAGGACTATGACAGAGACTCTCTGTGAGGACAGCTACAGTTGAGAGCTAGAGCATTAATTCTCCAGCTTAGGAGACACATCCCACATTACTGTTGGAAAGAAGCCTGATTCATCCATGGACAGCTGGGAGAGCAGCCAGGGTGAGACATCCCAGCAAGACAGCAACCTTCGTGTTTCCCTGGTGTGATATCATTCAGCTCTGTCATCCTCTCTACCAGGTCTGGCTCCATCCCTGCCAGAAGGCAGAGCCCCCCAAAGGCAGGGCCCCCCAAAAGCAGGCTGACCCAGCACTCTGGGTGCCCATGGGGGTGACTGTACCTGCTTTCCAGGATGGCTTCTTCCACATGAGTGCTCTTCTCAGACACAGGGGCCCCAAGGGAGGTCTGGCTCATGGATGACAGGAATTTCAGGAGCAACTTGGTGCTCTCAGTCTTTCCGGCTCCACTTTCTCCACTGTTAAGAAAAAACACACATTTCATTCACAAATCCAGGACAGCCAGAGCTGATGACCATCCTACCCACGGCACAGAAGTGATCTCTGGGAACAAACATGTGACATCTCCGCTGCGACAAGCAGGGATCAGGCAAAGGCAGGGAGGGTGGTGTGGGTACTCAGGCAGATGTCAATGCAAATGGAACAGCAGGAGCAAGGCGTGTCATGCAGCCGTGGAGAAGCTGGTTGTCCATCTCTAACCTGATGAGAACACACTGGCTGTCATGACGCTTCCACAAGCAGCAGTAGCACTCGTTAGCGGTGGCGAAGATGTGGGGAGGCAGCTCACCCAGGCGGTGCTGTCTGTACAGCTCCATGGCATCCACACCGTACAGACCAGGGATGGCTCTGTAGGGATTTACTGATGCCAGGATGGAGCCAATGTTTGTCTACGGGGAAAAAACAAAACACAGAAAGAAAATGAAGCAAGCTCCTGGGGGAAAAAAAAAAATCACAACAAAGCCAGACCCTGAAATAAGTCATGGCGAAGGAGAAAGCCTAAATAAGGACACTGAGCTTCAGCAGAGAGCTGCACAGTTTGGCAAAGATGTCCAACCCCAGAGAAGGAGCTGTACAGCTGGGTATGGATGGGGCAATCTGAATTTTGCTGCTTTATAATATAACATTCTTATCCTATTATCCTTGTTAAATTAAGCTTACACAATTAAAAAACATGAAGCCATCTTCATACCCAGCTACTTTGCACTGTGCTTGAAGCTGAGCAGCAGAGCCAGGACTGAAAGAGTGTCAGGAGATACCTTCAATGCCACAGTCCTAAGCAAAGGGGGCTTGGCAGGGTTCAAGAACCTCCTGAACAGAGTCGGAGCACAAACACACACACACTACACACATGTGCAAAGAACCACTAAAGCATATAATTTTTCTTCTGCTGAAAAAATGCTGTTTGGTGCAGCTTAAATAATTTGATAAACCAAATCAAAATTGACAGCTGAAGATAAAGCTCCAGAATTCAAGTCAAAACATTTCTGTATTTTTTAAACCTTTTATTTTGAAAATATTTATTTTGAAAATCTCACAGTCCAAAAAAGGAGGTAGCAAGACTTAAAATAAAATACCCAGACAACAACATTGAATTTCAAATGTATTATTTTGTGTAGTGAGAAGGAAATTAATTTTGCTTTTTGGGGCATGACTTTTTCGGTTCAGCCAACCAGCTCAAATCCAGTTATTCTCAGAGCTGCAGTTCAGAGCAATGGTGCCACCTCTCTCCTAATGATGGCTTTGTAATATGGTCAACATCCATGCTGCTGGTGTGCTGGCCTCCCTCACAGGGACATCTTGGACTGCCCTACTCAAGGAACACCCATTCTCAGCAGACATGACCAAACAAACACTTAGACTGCTGCAGGAGGTGCCAAGCTCTGTGGTCAGGGACAACATCTAGCATTAGCTCCATACCATGAACTAACTACAAGTCACCCATCAGATATAAAAGCACTTGAATGTATCTACTGGAGAAGCTGTAAATTAAACAAGTGGTCACAAGGAAGACTCATCAGGCAAAATGAAATCTGAGCCTATAGCAATGCCCATCTCTGAAGCCAGAAGCCAGACTGATAAGATGCTGTAGTCACCAAACTATTTAAAACTCATTTATTAAAGCAGCACTCAGAGATCATTGTGGGAGGGAAAATCACCTAGGACAAATTGCATTATCAGTATAAACACACTATCATGGATCAAGTCCTGAGGACCTTCTAACAGGGACCTTTGTGGGCAGAAATATAATTAATTGGTAATGAAAGCAATAAGAAGCAGATGATCTTTGGCCAGAGAGGTGGAGAGAAAGAGAGAGAGAGAGAGAAGAAAGCATTGAGTGTTAAAACATGAATTGGGGAAAAGCATTGTACAGGCAGCAGAGGAACAGGCATTGTCCAGAGACTACAGGACATTTCTATGTCCTTCACAGCATCTCTTCTCAGATGTTTCAGTTTGCATTTTCAATTGTAGTTTCACTAGGAACAGAGCTCCTTTCCAGAACTTCTTCCAGTACAGCCATCTCTTTCAAAGGTGTTCCTAGAAAACTTTTCCACCACCCAGCTGCAGTCTCCTCATCACATGCATTCCCTTATAGACAATTTCTATCCACAATTTTTAATGGCAGTAAAACCATGTACATAGCAGCTACTCTATCAGCAAAGTAATTGCCCCCAAAGAACTCTCCAGAGCAGGACAAGCCACATGTGGCAAGTCTACTTCTCAGGACAAGAGATCCTACTTGGATGGTTAGGCATGGCTTTGCTAAGGACAGCACAAAATGTGGCAGTACAGCCCCTGGCTCATTTCTGCATCACTCTCATTATGTTTGGTCTACTTTTATTAAGAATACAGGAATTGTAAGAATGAAGAGGGAAAGTGCAGGTTGTTGCTGTGCTCACATGATTTCCTTCAACAGTTGGGTAGAGCTTGAATAGTATTTATCTGGAAAACAAAAGGTACTGTTGAACTTGTCAGTATTACTGTAGTAAATTAATTATGGGTGTCAGAGCAGTCTAGATATACTGCTACCTACCCTCCCTGATCAGAAAGGATCCCCTTTAGGAGCTCATGGTGGGGTTAATAATCCTACACTGAGGGGTTCTTCCCAGTGCTGAGCATGTTACAGAGGTCAGGCCCCTTCATACATCTCCAAAAATTTCAGACCTGAGATGCACATCTGAGATTCATGCATGATGCAAAGGCAAAAAACGAGGTGTAAAGGTGCTAAACTTTAACACCTTTATGCAGAGATGGAGAAGGCACAGAACTAATGCTGAATAAGAGAAGGAATGACACATCAGAGCTAGCTGAAAGGCTTAAGGAGGTACAGCTGCTATGACACTGCTGGTGTTGTGGCATTTCTGGTGCAAGGCACAGACTGAAAAGGAAGAGAATCCTGCATTGCATTTTAAGGTGTGAGGAAGAAGAAACAGGAGGAATATGCCCAAATGGGGTCAAAAGCTACACAAACACATAGCATGTGTCAAACACAGGACAAGAAGAGCAGCAAGGATATGGGCCATCAAAATAATGTCTGCATGTGGCTACTGTCATAGGGTCACAAGGCTGTGTTGACAGACAGGCAAAGGTGTCTACAGGGAAAAAAAATAAAAAAGAAAAGAAAAAGAATTTACAGTCTCCTCTGCATCCAGCACAGGAGGTGGTTCAGAAACAGGGTCACTTTACTGATAATTTACTGGAATACAGGTGCATATGGTTTGGTTGCCTTGATAACGGTTGCTATGCAACACAGACAGAGATTTTCTTTTTTTCTGTCATATTTTGAAAACTCTGTGTGCACATAGCATGGACAAGCAAGGTAAGACAGTCTTTGCAATCTATCTTCCTTGCTCTCTCCAAGTCCTAGCAGAGCACTGCCATCCCAGCAGTTCAGGAATGTCTTGTCCCAGCTGTGCTTTTTCTCACAAGTCCCTTTCCTAACACTTGTCTCCTTCCTGAGAGGGAAATCAGGAGATGCTGTGAGCATTCATTCATCTGTGCAAGGAGAGCAAAGCAATCAAAAAAAAAAAACCAAAAAACCAAAAGGCACAACTGCATGTAAAAGCAGAAGAGTTGGGCAACAGGTTTGCATCCCTAGTTTTGTTAGGCAGTATCACATGTCTGGCTCAGGAGGGATACTCAGCAACCCCCTGTGTCCATTGCATCTTCCAGTCTGCTCGGCCCTAAAAACCATGGAACAGCCATAATGGGGAACCTGGGGAATGTGAATGACAGCTCATCAAACATGGATGCTCACAGAGGATACAGAGCTCTGCAATTACCACAAAGCTCAGAGGTGAACATTCAAGTTCCTCCATAGAGGCAAAGAGGCCCCTCTGATAAGGTTAGGATCTCACAGGGATGATGGAGCTGGCAAGGCAGGAAATCCCCTCCAGCTCCTATCCTCAAGAGACAAGGATAACATCAGTACTTCACATGCAAATTAGCAGCCCTGAAGCTAAACAAAAACCATTAAGGCAAAAGGGAAGAGCACTTACATAGATGTTACCCTGCTGGTAGCGCTGGTGAAGGTTAAGCAGGATGGCAGCTTCATGCAGATCTCCCAGCATGGACATGTCTTCCACCCCATCAATGCTGGTCTGGTGCATGGGTAAGACCTTTTCTCTGGACAGGGTGGCTTTGGGGTACTGGAACACCTGGGAGAATGGGGAAAAGGACAAATAGTCTAATGACACCTGGGCACATGGTCTGATTTCCTACCAGAAATGTACACCTTTACATTTTGGCACTGGAAAAGGAAATTAATAAAACACAGATCTGCTCCCTACTTTTACAGTAACCCTTCCATTCCTGTTCCTACATATTTGAGACCTCTGGCCAGAAACTATACAGCACACTCCCTTCTTCTGCTACACAGTCAATCTCTCACTTTCACCACTGATGGGGACAAATCAACACAAGGTTACTTAATTTCCCCTTAACAGAAGCAGGGCACCAGCCTCCAGCTGCTAGGCTAGACAGGTATTACACACTGCACTCATGACTGTGAATAATGATGGCAGCTGCTCCCAAGAGACCAGGAACAGTCTTTCACAAAAAACACAGGTGAGATCATGTCTTTGACCATGGGGAAGGAGAGGAAAAGCTAATTCACATTGCAAGTTTGGCCCTGCACTCTCCATAGCAGCAGCCAGAGAGCATCTGGAAGAGTTTGTCATCTCAAGAGCAAAGGAAAGCAAAGCACATGAGAAGCCAAATAAAGTAGTGACATTCTCTCTGTGTGATGACACATATGTGTATGATACAGCTTTCAAAATATTTGTACAGTGACACCTATTAACTTCTATCACTGCTCTAGGAAGTGCTCATCTCTCTGTGCAGTTGCACTCATCTTGTTTCAATTGCAGCATCCTTCTTCCTGCTGGAGCTTTCTCCTCCTCAATAACCCACTCTTCAGTTATCAGGTCATCTCCTTCACTCCCTTGAGATTATGTGACTGTTTCCCTCCACCACATGCACATCCCAGCCCTCCTTTCCTCCTCCTCAAGCACGATGCTGGCATTTCACGCAAGTTATTTCAGTTGCTTCCCACTCTTGGATTCAGCCATGTGCCATCTCCCACCCAGCATCCAAAGCTGTGCTAGATGGTAAGACCCAAAGAGAGACAGATGGGAGACTTCATATAGGCATCCTGGAGAAGGAAACCGGTCCACAGTAACCCCACCAAAGAATCTTGTGCTTTTCCTCTCCTGGGGCTCTGGTCTCTACCTCATTTCCACCCCTGCTTGTCAGCCCTCCTGAGTGCCAGGGAGAAACTGATGGGCTCCATAGAGAACCAGCTCTAATCTGTAGCGTTACCCTAAGTGGTGTCTCCTGCCCACCTCCTTGGATGCTCAGGCTGCTGTCTGTGCTGGGGAGAGGCCGTCCCTGCAGCTGCAGGCTGCAGACAGAATGAGGTCACCCAGCCCCCTGCAGTGAGCCACCCCTGCCAGTCCCTGCAGGGCGCTCACAGCTGCAGCACACTGCAGGTGCTCACCCCCAGGCTCAGTGCAGGGCAGCAGTAACCCAGCACAGCATCCCCTACAAACCACCACGATGCACAGCATCCCCTACAAACCACCACGATGCACAGCATCCCCTACAAACCACCACGATGCACAGCCACAAGGGCAGTCCTGCGAGGGAGCTGGGGAGGAGAAGCTGGCTCAGTCCTTCAGGTGTGTTTGCCCCATTTCTCACCAGTCACACCTGTGTGGCAAGAACTACTCAGCCTCTTCCACTGGCAGGCTCCTTCACAGCCCACTTCTTTCACCAGCCAGGAATTTTGTGTATTTTTTTCAAAAATTTCAAAAATTCAATTTCAAATTTTTAAAAGGAAAATTCAAAAATTTCAAAATTTTTTCAAAAAATTTTGTGATTTTTTTTTATTTTTTCAAAAATACACAGTTTGCGTTCATGATCAGTGTAAAACAAAGCCCAGTCCTGCAAAAACGCTCTCTCCAGGCCTCTCCAAACCAGTTCTGCTGCTGGGTGTCAGAGAGGTCTGACTGCCAGCAGAAGGACCCTCACTCTGCAAGCATGACCCTAAAAAAAGAAAAACTTTTTTTTTCTTCTTCAGAGCAGAGACCTCAGGCACTTTCACCAGAAAACTGAGGGAGCAGAAAGGGAGAATGGCACAATTAAATTCAGGAGAGAGTACAAGCTGCAGATGTACAACATCTGGACTCTCAGGAACAAAATCAGTACAGCACTTTCAAACTAGGAGGCAGCAAATGACCCTGGCTCTCTCTTGTCCGCTGACTTACACAAAATTTGGAATAGGACAAGTGAAAAACAGCATGACGTGATCTTCCCTTATATCTGCCTGGTACTTACTCATCTACTACTGCTCTGTCAGCACTTGCAGCCATTTGGGCCAGAAGAGAAACATTAAGAAAACATTAAGACAAAAAGCTGAGCGGACAAGTGTCCTAAAAGATATCAGGAGCTGGCAGTACCTGTGCCCAGAGGCTGCCATGCATGAAAAGTGATGGGTCAGAGCTCATTTCCTGCTTCTTGATGACAACATGGCAGGAAATGGAACCCTGAAGAGGAACAGGGGTCCTAAATACACAAGTAAATTATTAGTAGGGTTTAGAAACTCACGTTAGACCTGTCTTGAGCCACTTGATTGGGGCCTCCAGCCCAACTGAGTTTTGGGAGGTGATGGCTCTGTGCCTCTGGAAGACACTTGTGACATGTGGGAGAGTTTTCAGGTCATCCCTGGCACTGGAAGAAAGCTGAGTTTTCATTTGTTCTCTGCCCTCCAGGGGCAGAGTCTCTGTATCACCAAAAGGCTGCAAGGATCACCCATGCTCCTGGACACAGACACATGTCCCAAGACTGTCAAAGTGAGTTTCTTCAAGGAGCTCAGAGGTTTGAGACACAAACAGGATGATGCTCCATCCTCATAGTCCCCATAAGGAAGCTTTTGTTATCCCACTGCTCACCCCTGGATGCTTCCAGCAATCTGCAGGAGAGCAATTTCAAGGATCCTCCTCCATCATCCTGTTCCAGGAAGGGTATGCCAGGCTGGTGTTTAGCACTACTGAGCTGAATATGACAGCTGATTTTTCCTGAAGCAAGTCAGAACTCAGGCAAACTGATCTCTCAGAAAAGTTGCCCCCAGAATATCTCTTTTTTAACAAGCTAATATATAAAACACAAAGTTATAGGTGTTAATAAGCAGATCTTTATTTTTGGGAAGGAAAATAATCAGCTTTAAGTCTAATAGGCACCTCACAGCCAAAGATTTCTACTTTCTTACCAGTGATAAACTCAATTTGCCTCAAATTTAGCCCAAAGTGAGGGTCAAATGACCCTGACTCTCTCCAAGGCCCTGCAATGGTCAGGAATAAAGCAAAATCTGGGCAGCAAACAAGCCAAGATGAGGCTTGCCAGTGCTGCTCACCAGGCTCAGCAAGGGAGAAATTATTCCTTTTCAAACTCAATTCCATCCATTAGTGCCATCCTGAGCACACAAGCAAAGCTCCCACCTGGCATCCAAGTTATATTTATCCATAAAGCATTTGGCTGTTTTGTCTGGATCGTGCTTTCCAATCTTGTGTTTCACAAGCAAAGCTCCTCCTTTCCTCCCAGGAAGTCACATTTCTGATGCATTTACTGCCTGAGGTGTTTTCAAGGAAGTGAAAACAAATGACAAAAGCTTTGAAGCATGACTGGACTTCTTACCTCAGAGCTGCAAGAGCTGCAGGGATGCTGGGCCAGAGCAAACACGAGGACAATAGATTTGGGGGTGCTAAAAATCAGAGGGGTCAACTGCCCCACCCAACCCAAAGTGAAGACATTTATCAGAGTCCTTATCCGGGGTAGGAGTGCCAGTCTCTCCTAGAGGTGTGAAGCAATGAATGTGGCAGGTGAGGGAAGCACACAGGACAGCTCTTGTGGGTGGCACTGAGCAAAGAAAGCCCTTTAATGATCACCATGAGCTTTTACTGCACGAGCCATAAAGCACATGCTCCTCCAGCCTAGTGGTTTCTTGTTTCATGGAAGAAAAAAACCCAAACCCAGCTTTTTTTCTTCCACACCTGTAAGCCACCAAGCATTATCCTGATCATGTTTTCCAGCATACAGGGCACAGGCTGGAGGTGGACAGACAGCTCTAAAGTGGGATTTCTGGTGTTCTTTTAGAGGTGGCAGGTGGGTTTGAAAGATTTTACAAGGCCACAGCAGCAGGTCAGAAGAGATAGAACTGGGAAAGTCACAGAAGTACTGTCACCAGTTTTTGTCCCTCTGGAGGCTGCTGCATTACCTGTGATCCCTTAAAATGTGTTAGTGATATCCAGCACTCCCAAAACAAGTCAACTCCTCAAGAAGGGGTCTAAGAGACTACAGTAACCAGATTCAAAAATCTGTGTTTGCTAGGGGAATTTCCATCTCTGAGAAACAAATCAGGCTCTTTATAAAAGAATGATGACTTCAAATCTTTCAAGGCAAGACTGAAAAACTACAGTCTTACCACTGACTCCACAAACCAGGGCTCTAAATCCCCTTTCCCCCTGTGCCCTCCTTTGTTTGCCAGGTAAGAGGCTGAAGAAAACCTATCCATTTTTCTGTAACAAAGCAGCCACCTGCAGGGCCCATTCACCAGAACAGCTGAGCAGGTCTAATTGCTCACTGCTGGAGGGCACAGTCCTGCCCATTTCCCCATCCTCCTCCCAGCCCAGGCACCAGTCTGACTCACCCAGAACCTCCTTGAAGGCTGTGGATAGTTTCCCCAGGGTTAGCCAAGCGAGCTGACTCACTGAGGACTTGGGTGATCCCCAGAGGTCCCTTCCTACCAATATTATTCCATGAGTACTGCACCAGGAGACCACAAGGAGCACAGAGCTGGAAATCAGGCAGAAAAGGAGCTTGTTCTTATCCCTGTTGGAGAGCTCTGCTCTCAGGGGAGCTTGGCTGCCTCGCTGAGCTGTCCTGTGCATCTCTGCAGCCTTTACACACTGACTGGCACAGGGAGCCACTGCCACGTGCCCCTGGCCAAAGGGCTGATAGCAAAAGCTGCTGAAGCAGCTGGTGGTGAGCACAAGCACCCCTAGAGTGGCACAGCTTGGCAGGAAGGGCTGCTTGGTTATTGGAGCTGCCTCCTTCCAGGAGCATTTGGCCAATATAATGATTTTGTTAGGCTGTTAATGCAGCTCCTTCAAAGATGGCACAAGGGAAACCAAGAAAAGTGAGGTAGGCAGAGAAATGAAGAGAACAAGAAGAACTATCTTCTCCTTTTAACATTTGTTAGATATTTGGTGTAACAGAGCCAGGTCACTTTTCAGAGAGAATTGCAGCATTTCCATTGATAAATTTCAACATGATGGTCATGCAAAATGAAGAAGTCCATCTTTCAGCTTGGCATAGGGTACAAACTCATGCAAACTTCACTTACCATGCCATAATCTGAGGTGAAGAGAACATTTCCATTGGCACACAAGCCAACAGTGCATGGCTGCAGCTGGTCCTGCTCCTGCAGCCATACCCTGGCACCCTGCAAAAACCAGAAGACATCCCATTAGAAAGAACTGGAGCCTGTGAGATCTGCACCCAAGGAAAGCTGGGGGAAGCTGCAGTATTCAGAGGCTACTTCCAAGCTACAGCTGCTTAAAATACTTAAGTAAGTTCTACTGACATTTTCAGAGAAATTGGGTTTGTTTTTCCCTTATGTAACAGAAGCGGAAGAAAAAGCAGTTTTAATGAGCTTCATGCGGAAACTAAAGTAAGGAAACACCAACTTTTATAGAAAGTGTCATGGAAAGATACCAACACATAGAATAGTTGGTTTGACTGTCTAAATATTTTAAAACTTGGAATAGCCAGTCATTAAAAGCCATGCTATAATAATAATAGAAAATATAAATAAAGCATGTTTACAATGTAAACAATACACCCACGCATCATTGTAAGTCAAAATGCTTCCAGAAATCACCAGCTAAGAGGATTTCACAGAGCTTTGTTTGCAAACTCTGGCAAGAGCTTCCTTTGGTAAATGACATGACCTGAGTGTTTCTCTGATGTATATACACACAGATGTATACACAATGGTCCTTATGCCTGATGTATGTACGCACTGGTGTTTATATCTGGGTTTTTTTATATGATGTTGCACATACACTACAACATCTTAAACTTCTCCATGTCTCTCAAGACAAGTCTGAGCACAAACCCAGATTTCTGGTAACACACATGCAGGGATCTGCAGGACAGGTAGATCTCATAGCTGGCCTACCAAAATATTAAGGAAAACAAGTTTGCTGGATTGGCCTCTTCTGCCTGTGGGACCTGGTACAAGGGAAAGAACAGGAGCACGAAGGCAGATCAGGGCATGACCTGCAATTACAGAGCTAGGCATGAAGTCACACCACATTTCAGTTATTGCAAACTAATCACTTCCATGTCTTCCCATAGAAATCACATAAACTCTGCTTAGATAAATATTGAGAAAAATCCAAAGTGCTCAACTGTTGAGTAACATTAGGGCCATGCTGTCTTTCATTGATTCATAGACTGACTTTCTTCCTATTTTTTTTAATGCCCCTAAATTATTGATTGTGAGCTTTAAGCCCTTCCTACCCTCTTAATCCCATCAGCACCATTAGCTCTTTGCTTGTAGGCTTAATATGTTTGAAGAAATTGAATAGTGTTTCTATATTACATTATCCAAAATGTGAAACACTAATTCTATTTTTAATGATTTGTTTTTAGTTTAGGTGGGTTTTTTTAAACTACTTAAGTCACTCTAAACACTTTAGTACCCCGGACTTTCCTTGCTGTAGGAGATACATCTATAGGCCAATCTCCAGTCCTCCCAACAAAAGATCTGGGTTTAATGACATTAAAAAGGTGTACATAATTCTAGCTTTACTGCTGTGCTCTGGTCTAGAGTTTCAAGCAGATTAATCTCCCCTCACCAAGTGAATGAAAAGCACCATTGCATGTGATCAGCACCTAAACCCATGAATAGTCTGCAGAGATCAACCTCATGGCCAGTGAACAATAGCAATAGAAAAAAATGGAATCTTACATTACAGATTTGAGATCCCAGAGTGCTGGTGTGGACAGTACATCACACACAGATTTTGAGGAACTATACAGAGGATTTGTTACATCCCCTTAAGTTTTCTGAAACTCTGGATGCTTGAAATAAAGTGTCCTGAGGCATCTGGGCAAGACATTGCTATTGAGAAATCATCAATTTCCCAAATCACATTCTGACTGGTGTGCATAAACATATGCACATCAACATGTGTTTGAAAATTTTTTTGCTACTTTCACCGGACTCCTATTACCACCATGGTAGAAAGCAAAGAGTCAGAAAACAGGAAGGATGTGTCTCCAAACAGAGGGATGAAAGAAAGCCTTTTATAAGACACTTAGTGTAAACATCCCCAACAGTGCACTCCAATGCCTTCAGACACCAGTAACCCAGGATGGCAGGGATGAGAGCCTGAGGCAAGTGCAGTTTAATCAGAAGACAAGTCTGCACCCCGCCATGCACACTGTGCCCCAGTGCCACAGCACACACGCCCTGTGTATGGCAGTGTGCCATCATCACAGCACCCTAAACACTCTGCCCCTGGAGACCAGGGGCATCCAGGTTACACAGACTTCCTGCTCCCTGAGCTCAGAAATTAACTTGGAGCTACAGGCAGTTGATAATCTGACACAGAAGGGACAATCCATGGGCATGAATACTGTTATTTAATAGCTACCACTCAGAAGGGAAAGGGGGAGATAGGCAATGGGTCACTCAGCTATCTTCAACACATAGAAATTATCTAAAAGTCCAGACTTTTAGATAATTTAGATTCAGACCCCTTTCCCAGCAGAAGTCCATGTGCAAAAGTATTAACAAATACTCCCAAATACCCCTCCAAGGAGACACAGCTCTTTTGTACAACACCACACAAGCTTATGGCAGGTCCTTCTCTGAGCTGCTAAGGAATAGAAGGCAACATGCTGAAACTCCCAGGCCCTGTGATATTCCAGCTGCCCAGAATGACTTACTTCAGTTTACTCTCATGTTGTAGCTATTTGTACAACAGCAATTGCCTCTGCACAGCAGAGTAACTGCACCCAGTTATGCTGTTTCCAAATGGAATATTCTGCTGAGACAGCCAGAAAAGGAACCACAGAGCAAATAATTATTTTAACTTCTGCCCAGCATAGCCATAGCCCCATTTCCTGAAAGGCAGAGTTTGTATTAGTGCATCTCCTTCCACCAGGCCTTTTCTCTAAACATGAAATTCCCCAAGGAGCCTTGACTAAATACGGGAGCAGATGGTGGCACCAAAGAGACTGCTCCACTTTACTCCCCTGTCCCCCAATGCCAAACATCTCATTGATCAGTTGAAAAGATTAAATTGAGCAGAAAACTTCCAAAAACTGCCTGGCAGCAAGGCTGAACTTCCACAGGAGAAGCAAGGTCAGGAGCACTGAGCAGTGCCCAGCAGTGATGTGCCAGCTCGGGGGAGCCCCAGCTCCCACAAGCACCATGATGGGAAACCCTGCTCGTCCAGGACAAGAGTAAAAACCCTTCAGCTTCCATTCTGGGATACAGGAGATCCACCCTCACCCACAGACAAAACAGTTTAACAAAATGAAGCAACAAGCAATCACCAATTTGAGAACACCTTAAGACAGAGGAGGAACAGCAGTGATGATTTTGTGTAATCACTTTCCATCAAATAAAGCTGGCTGAATACTGATCATGCAGTTAACTCAAGCCCCTTATATAATGAGCTCATCCCCACCCAATTATTCTTTTACTAGGAGTTTATTAGGATGGTCTACTGCTTTGGTTTTAAAGGGAACAAGAGCAGGAACAGAAAGGAAGAATAAAACAGTAATGTACCAGTTCCTATATCGAGGGCAAGGCACTCAGATGTTAAACAAACTCTGAGACCAACATCCTCATTCCTATGGCCTCAGTAACAATCTGTCCATGAACTTGCCTTGCCACAAAGTGCACAGCAAAGCACAATCCTGAAAAGTGATCTTGTACCACGGGGTTGTAATTCAGAAAATAAAGTTGCTTGCATACAGAGAGCAGTGTTTCATCAGTACTGGCCCATGGTCACAACATCATGCCTTCCACTGTGGACAGTAAACTCTAAGATGTCATTTCTCAGTTCAAATAACACATGGCACTTTGGATCCTAGACTCAGAAATAAATAACATTTCCTGCTATTCATGATATCAAAATTCAATTGAAGCCACAGATCTCTTGGCCTTTTCTGCCTTTTTTTTTTTTTAAGAGTGACTGAAACCAGAAGTTCTCCCTTGCATTCACATGCCTGTATCTCACCTCAGGAGATGTACTATGGTGGGTCAGCAGGGAAGGAATAAGGGAGATCTTGTGTGCTGCATCCAGGGAATGGGCAGAGAGGCAGAAAGGCAGCACACAGCCCTTACTGCAGCAGCAAGGCATCCACACATTGAAGTAGAGTGTGTAGCCAGCAGCTACATCCTCTCATCAGTTATCAGCTGCTGAAGGCAGCAAGGTAAGCTCCAGAGCACAAGACACAAAACTCCATACATGCAGGTGCCTTGGCCTCTCCAGGGCCTCCCAGTCCAGCAGGGGACCCATTCAGGGACTGACATGAGAAAGCAGTTCCACAGCTGTATCACTCTTCAGAAACAAGTCTTGCTATTCTGTTCTCCTTAATCCGTGTTTTGGACTACCCTTGAATCTTCATGATTTCCCAGGACATCCTCTGTCTTCTGGGAACTGCTTCTATCCAGGCACAAGCAAGAATGAGCTGTCTCAGCTGAACTTCAGGACACAGCAGGGCTGCCCCTCTCTGAGTGCACTCAGACATCCCACTCCCCCTTGTGCACAAACCTACACAACTGCCAGGACTAACATGCTCAGGAGGGGCTAAACCAGGATGGCTGCAACAATTTTCCAGGGTTACTCAGAGAGGAAAAGTAGTTTTGTTTGAAAGACACCTTTCAGTGTGTGAAAGGAGCATACAATTGTCTGCTTTTTCCAGTACAGGATGTTTTTAATGTTTTCTTTGTGTCTGAACTTGACTGTCTCAGCCTCCAGATCTACCTACAAACACAATACTACAAGAGGTTCTTGCAATGCCTTCCTTGATTTAGGTAATTATACCAAATCAGCCCTTCTGCAAGGGGCAGGGATGTCTCAAAAACATACACCCCTGCACTGAGGGTCTGAGACAAAAACCTCTGTGGGTGCAACAAGTTTCCAACTACAAGTACTATATACATAACTTACCTTTGTCCTCCTAGCACACTGAGGCTGTTCAGTGGGTATTGGGCATCCAAGCCTTGTGTTTCTCCTGGCAATGGATCCATATGCTCCTAGGCTTAGGAAAGGCTCTCCTGGCAGCACAGTGCTGAGCCAGCTCTTTTCCCAGCCTCAGTGGCTTTGTGGCTGCAAACCACGAGGCAGAGACTGGGCCAGAAAGGCCCTTGCAATTCAGACAAAGCCGGAATCAGGTTTCAATAAATGCACTTTCCAAGAGATTGATCTGAATGATCATGAATAAGTGATAGGATAAATACAAAGAGCCTTAGCTAATGGATGTAGGATTGGTGGGGAGGGGGAGTCCCTGGCAGCCTAGCCCCATATGGCAAGGAATGCAACTTTGCTGTTTTTCTGATGGCAGGCTGAAATGAAGCCATGGGCTGTATCTGATCAGCAAAACTGGGACCAGCTCCTGGAAGGGAGGGGCAGCCCAGAGATCACAGGTAAGAGAGACAGAAGCACCAGCTCAGTTGGCAGCAGCCAGCATGGAGCAGCTGGCAAGAGGGACAATACCTGCAAGAGCAGTAGGGATAACAGAAACCAAAGTCTACTTCTTGTCAGGCACGAGGGAGACACACGGTAGAGCAAAAAGGGGCTGGATTGTACCTGTCTGGTCCCACAATTCCCACACAGCAGCTCACTGAGGTCAGGCAGCCCCTGCAAGCCAGCAGGGCTCAGAGCTGCACAAACTCCAGCCATGGGTCCTGCTACTCCAGAGCTGCAGCCCAGGCTGAGCCCATGACTCATTCCAGTTCTGCCAATTAGCAGCCCCATTCCTCACTAATTAAGGAGCAGAGCCCTCAGTCTGCCAGCAGCTTTGCAGAATAGCAGTATCAGGAAAAGGTTTGTGCATTTTAAAGAATCTAAGAGCATTAGGAGTTTTTCACTTCTGGTCACTGATGTATATGCACTGCTTCCCACTCCCCTTTTGCCTCCCCCTCCCATCTGTTCTGTTCCTGTCTCCTCCCCCAGTTTGGCTGCTGCACAGCTTTTCTTCTCACTCTCCAGAACATCTCCAAATATTTCCCAGGAAATGCCTGGTTTGTGGAGGTAATTCTTCATCTTCTCAAAGAAGCAGCTACACACTACAGGAACCACACCAACTGCTTGTCTTGTCATGGGCAGGGAGGGAATGAACCCCCAGCTGTTTTCCACATACTTCAGAGCTGCCCTTTGCCATGAGCACAAGGTCCACAGAAAGGAGGCAGGTGTGAATCCTTCCAGACTCCACTGTACACTCTCTCCAAGCTCAGTTTAAGATAAGCTGCCCCCTGCAATTCCACCATGGCAGTGGAGTCACTCTCCTCCTCAGATGAAGTAATAGTCCTACAGAGCTTGCAACCACCTGAGCAATTCTCACCAGTCATGAAAATGCATACTGAATTTCATTAAGCTCATGAAAGTAAACACCACTTCCATGCCTTCATTACAAGCTCTTCCCTGCCTAAAACTTCAGTTAGGAACTGAATTAAAATGAGTTGTTCCCTAAGCACATTAATCACATGGGTATCTACAGATGTGTATTCCCTGTCACATCACAGCAGCACTGGCTTTCCTACACCCTTTCTGTAGCCCTGAAAGGAAGGAGGTAATGTGGCATCTGCTAAACCCCAGCCAGGCCCTAGCAAAACTTCCCCTACCAGCCTGCAGCTCAAAACTGAGCAAGTAAAAGGTATTCCTGCCCTGCTCTCAACTTGGGCAGTGCTTCTCAAAGAAGCCTCTCCCACTTGCCACCAAATATATAGCGAGGTGGCTTCTTTGCAGTTCCCTCCCTCTCTCAAATTCAGCCAATGGCTTCAAGGGTGAGGCTGGGCTGAGGGACAGTTGAGAAGTCTTGGAGGTCCACAGAATAGAGCCCAGGGCCTCAGGCAGCCACAAGGGTACAGTGGTCTGTCACTGGGCAGCCCCAGTGCCACATGTTTTGTAAAAATCACAGACAAGAGCCCTGAAACAGTATGTCTTCTGCAGTGTTTATTATGCATAATTTGGGATTATGCCCAATAACTTTTTGCATCTTGCCACATCCTTGACTTTCCCTACCTTGTGGAGTTCTACCACCTACTCACACATTATACAGAAACGTATGTTTTTAAACCAATCTCATCACTGTGAAGCACAAAATCCCTTTTTCTTGCAGTCAGAGGTAGAGGCACAGAGGAATTCAATCCACCTTCTCTGTCTCATCCATTATTTTCTGCTCTTTTGCCATGTCTCCCCCTATTTGTCATTTCACTAATAAAGTAATCTCAGGTTTTTAAACTCTTCATGTGAGACATTTTCCTGGTGTTTGCTCGTCCTCTGTGTCCTTCCTTCAAATACCATTCAGAAAGCAAGTGGAGTGCCTCTGAGCTGGGATGCAGTGTTTCAATCTGAAATAAGAGTGGAAATAGGGAAAAATGGGGCAAACAACCCATGTAAGAAAGAAGCTGGGAGACAGGAAAGACAGAAGAGTCTGTTTCACTCTTTTCTAAAATCACTGGGTACAAAGACATGTGCTAGTAGCAGCATCCAACTACTAGATGTGGATGGCAACACTGGGAGTTACCATAAAATTACAGAATAAATTGAGTTGGAGGGAGCCTGCAAAGGTTATCAAGTCCAACTCCTGGCCCTGCACAGGACCAAGAGTCACACCATGTGCTCCAGAGCATTGTCCAAACACTTCCTGAACTCTGGCAGGCTTGGTGCTGTGGTGATGGAGACAGAAGTTTCTAATAAACATCCCTGGAAAGCACCCATCTTGCATCACATTGTGACGCTGAAGTGCTTTCAGTAAATGGAAAGGACACAAAACATTTTAAAAATCAACAGGTCCAAGAGTTCCCAGAGATGTGTCCAATAAAGTTTCTCAACAGTTGCTATTAGTTTTTTATAAGTCTGGTAATGCTGAGGAAATTCCAAGAGATTGAAAGAGTCAGAGTCTAAATAGCAGTGATAGCAGGATTATCCCTAGCAACCATGGGTTGCTTAGTCTGAGAACCCAAGGGAAAATACAGAGGTTTTGCTCTCTGCTGTTCCATCTTAAGGATACTCTGGCTTTAACTGCTGTCCAGTGCCAGTTAACATGGGGAAGGAAGTCGAGTCAAAAAGGCTTCTTCTTCCTTAGCATCCAAGCACACGAGATAAATAGGATCATGATTGACTCTCGTGGTGTTTGCCATGTAGAACACAGAATTTCAGTAAAAGTCAGCTCTTGAGGAGCAAACAGCAGCAAAGGGATCTCAAAACTGTTGTTATGGATGGGGAAAATCACTACTAATTGAGGGAGTTTCCAACAAATGTCTGCAGTGACAGGGTCAGTAGTATTTTACATTCTCATCAAGGACCTAAAATCTAAAGTAATTCCGACAGTGCTAGCAGATGCCAACATCTGGCAGATAAGTAAGTCCCCACAAGGATGTGACCACCAGAGCAGTGTGGATTCCACAGCCCCCTGTTAGAACAAAACAGGATTAAAGTACAGCCAAACAGAAAGGTCATCATCAGGAGAGAAGGAATGCAAGGAGTACTTCAAACAGAGGAATGTCTTCTGGAAAGTCACAGACCCAAAGAGGATTGCAAATTGCTGAGCAGAAACTCCCAGGACATTTGGTGGCAACAAGAGTTGATGCATGTCTGGGATGTATAAACAGGAGTAAGGAAGTTTACTGCTTACTTATGCTTTGAGGTGTGAGAAAGAAGCCTTCCAGAGACAACATAAAAGGCTCAGTCATTTTTGCTATTCAGAAAGATCCCTTGTAGTGCAAAAGTATTTGTGAAGATGTTAATGTCATTATGTAGATTTGCCAGAGCTAGGCTGACCTATCTAGCCCAGACAGTGATAGTGGGGGGATTAGAGCAGCATGTGGCCCAGCATGGGCTGCAAACCTCATCTGTGTCCCTGCATCCTCAACTGACTCAGCCCTGCTGAGAGGACACGACAGACAGTAGTACTGAGACCCCTCTCTGCTACCTGCTGGCTCACCTTTGCCAGCAGCTCAGAGGCAACCTGGTGCCAGAAAATAATTTATTGCAGACAGAGAAGCTATTTGGGACAAAGTGACTCTCATGAAGCAGAAGAAAAGTAGGACCTGAAAACGGATGGATCTGCCAGACACTTCAGAAATGAAGCAGGATTTATTTTAAAACAAGGTTGTGTAACCACTTGCAGAAACTGCAAAAAGCAAGGGATCCTCCAGAAATAAGAAGCCCTTCTAGAAAGTGTGATTCAGCCAAATCTTCATCATTGGCTGAAGATGCAAGTAACAGGAATAAAGAGCACTAATACACCCCCCATCATCCTAACCCTAATTTCCACCTTCTCATCAAATAGACTGATGACTGGATCTGTGAGAGGTCCCACCACCAGTTCAGTTGCTGTGATAATTATTGCACTTGTATGACAGGACCCCTCAGTCCCCTGGGCACTGTGCCAAGTGAGGCACAACAGGCCCTCCATAGGTGTTTTTCCTGAGACTAGGCTCTGCAGCACTGCTGAACTGTGGGTGATCTCAGATGGAAATGAGGAGGCAGAACTGCAGAGTTTAGGGTAACTGAAAGATAACCAGGAAATCCAGACTCTCACAAGTTTCAGTCTTAATAATCACATTTAGATAGTTTGCATATTCTCCTTACAGCAAAATGGGAAAAAGAAATTGCAAAACATTTGTGATCATTCTGTTAAATGTAAGTGTGGCAAGAAGTGAAGCCAGAGCAGAATAAGGTGGTTTTGGAGGCCACAATGGGGCAGCTGCATGCTGGCCCAGGGCAACCTGGCTTCCCTTCATGTGGGGGCTCTCACTGAGAGCCTGTGCCAGCCCACCCTCTTGCTGCTGATGGGATGTGACAAGGTCACAGCTCACGCAGCCTGGCTCCAGATGAATGCCCTAAGGAGGGAGCTAGCAGGACTCCCTCTCTTCCGCCAGACACTTCTTCCTGTCACCTTTGGCACAAGAGCTTTCTTCCTTGCAATTGCTGCTCCAAAACAGGGCAGTCGAACCCTTTTGTCCTATATCTGCCTCCTTATCACTCTGAATGGTTTGGGGGAGCTTGGATGGAGGATCCAACAGCTTGGATGGAGGATCCCGTGTGTAGGAACATCCATGCTACACCAGCTGCATGGATATCTTCAAGGACAGTGGTACTGCTCTTCAGCTGCACTATACAGGCAAATTAAACAGAGGGGGTGTGCTTTGTGTGCTATTGATACAGAGAGCATTACATACACAAGATGGATGTTACAGCCAGCATTTCTCTGTCTCTTCTTAAACCCTATGGGTTCTCTTTCTGAGAGGTCACAATATTCTCAGTAGACTGAGAGGAGGTTGTCAGGGGAAGCTGGCAAAGCACATGTTCCTGAGAGGTGGAGAGAGGCTTGGCCAGAATACTCCTTCAAAGAGCAGCCTCACTGCTATAGAAGATGATGTTCTAGTACCTTTTCTTCCCAAGACGGCATTTTCCTAAGACAATGGTTGTTAACCCATGGGCATTCAGCTTACTGTTATCTGTAAAGACAGCCCATCACTCATGGTCAGCATCATCCACGTCAGCTGAACCATTTCCCTTATCTCAGACAAGAGTCTCTGGATAGATTCTCCTAGACATCTGGCCATGTTCCTCTCTCACAGGAGCTCCTCCTTCTCCCAACTGCAGGGCGCATGGGAAAGGCAAACCAAGCTGTTGAGAAACCTAATCCAGCCATGTACAAACCCTTCCCACCCAGCACAACCTGGGCTCCCTGGGGACACAGGTCTCTGGATGATGCATCCAAGCAGCTGCAACAGAGAGCCCAAAGGTGGTGACAATTGCATGTGCAACCAAAAATCAGACCAGTCCTGTACCTGCTGCACCCATGAATCAGGCAGGCTCCACACCGCAAAGGTGCATTCACAGTCAAGTCCTTTCAGTTTTTCCCTTACCCATGTTCCCCATCTGCCTGCAGATGTTTATATACATGACTTCATGCCATTAGATGCCCAAAGCACAGCAAATTCAGTTGAGTGTCTTGGAGCCAGTAAAGGACCACACTTTGTAGACTCCCTGATGGCTTTATGGAGCAGTCAGGCACTTTCCACTTGCATCAAGTAGCCAGCAGTCAGGGCAAAGCTGCCAGAGCAAAAGAAACCTGGCAGAGGTAGCTGCTTTCCACCTCAGTTTGGGGCCAAGAAAGCTCAGGTGCATGCATGGTGGCAACTCCAGTGGCCTTAGTACCCTTCACAGCTTTGACTCTGAGGCTTCTCCCTGATCTGCATGTATTCCCCAGAGAGATGGATCCCCTCCCTGTCTCCATGGCAGATACCCCAGGCCACAAAGAAGAGAAGGGCTGTGGCCAGGAAGGATGGGGAACATGGGGAATAGTGAGTGAAGACCATGACAGATGTAGAGAGGACAATTCCAATCACCACAGCCATGCAGGAAATGAACACAGAATTACCCCGCCTTTCTCTCCCCATGTCAGAAAGCTTAAGAATTTCAGGGGATTTATTTTACAACACAGATGAAAAGCTTTGGATTTCACCACAAGAGCAATGAGGAAAACTGTTTAACACTTAAAATGCCAGCATTTCTAGGCCAGTGGCACGTGAGAAGGAGAGCAGCATCTGTGACTCCACTGGATGCTGCTCCTCAGTGCTGACTGACTAGGGGATCCTGCTAACTGGTCACTCCAACTGGAGTGCAGAAGGACAGGATGGGAGAAGTGTCTCCTTTAACCCTGCCCATGACATTCCTGCTCCTTAGGGGGAATTGGAGAGCGAGTCACATCCTCTGTGTCAACCCCACATCCTGCCCACACTCCAGACACACAGGGAAACCATCATCTGTCACCGTGCCACAGCCCGGGCCTGCAGGGCCCCTCCTCCTGCCTGGGCACAGGACTCCCTGCAGCAGCCAAGCAAGGATGGCAGAGCACACACACACGGCTCCTCCACTCCCACCCTGCTGCAGCAAAGGCCTCATCCATCACATCTCTGAGCCATGCTGCACAGCAGAGCTCCCATGGCAGAGACACACACACATCTTTGTGCTGTACCACTCACTGGGGATGAAGGTTTTCTAATCTGACCCGCTTGGGATGTTGTGGGAGCAGAGCAGCAGCAGCACACTCCCCAGCAGCTCACTGTCCTGGGGTCTGCAAGCAGAGGAGGGCACAGCACATGGGAAACCCTTCCACAGTGTCAAGCTGGCACAACTGGCCAAAACTATTCCTCCCTTGCAGAACCAGGATGGCAAGTGGGTTGAACCCTCCATAAAGCCATTTTGGTCTCCAGCATGCCAAAGGGGGAGCTAGGGGAGCTGTGAAGACCCATGGCATCCCCACCTAATCCCAAATACTGATCCACAGCTGAGTGTGATAATCTAAATGCTGCAAGCACAGCATGGGCGCCTGCTAAGGCAAGACCAAGAGCACACTGGGGTTTAAGCTATTCACTCTAAGACATGACATGCATCCCCTGGGACAAGCTCGTATTCTGCTGCTGCAGAAAGAAGTGAAGCAACTCCCTTCTACTCAGGCTTTCCCTCCCACTAAGAACCCCCATGGAGAAGGAGGAAGAGTGGCTGGGGTGCAGCAAATGCCAAACATTCCGGCTTTGGGGAAGTCACATTCCCTCTCTCCCACCCCCACTGCCTTTCCTGCAAAGCAGAGTCGGATGCTTTCCTGCACACACTCACCCCAGTTCTCCAGCCTTGCCTACCTTGCTTCATCAGGATTAACGTGATTTACAAGAGACGTGTGACTCTTAGAGAGACTCTGGCTCCAGGACTGCCCCTCAGCCCTTCCCTGGAAATCCCTGTTTCTTCAGATAATGGCAGAATCATGCCTGGACAGCGTCCTGGAGCTGGACAAAGCAGGCAGTTCTCTGAAGGGTGCTACTTGCTGAGGTGTGCACCTCTGGGCATCCCCTTTCCAGCCTCCCATTCCCATCAGTTCCTTCAGGCTCCAAAGTGGCTACTCCTGTTGCAAGAGGCCAGGAGGTTCCTCCTGACAGAGGGGTGGGCATAAAGGCTGTGGTGAAATGGCCCTTTGGGAAACTCTGGCCTCCATCTGATTAGATACAGACGGCCCAGACTTCCAGGAGCAGCAGGTTAATCAGTTAATGGCTGGGGGATGCTGGCGATGCGCTGCCGCATGCTGTGGGGCAGCCCCAGCCGCACAGCCCGGGGGCAGCCACTCCTTCCTCTCTGCGGCCAGATCTGGGAAAACATCTGTTCTGATAAAGAAAGCGCTTCACCAGGGAGGGGGCAGGCCCGAGCCCATCAGCTACTCCAGCCCAGCGACCACGGGCTGCTCCGGAGCGCTGCTAGCTCCCCCTCCGCACCCGTGACTCGCAAGGCCAGACAGTGGGGTTAATGGCCTGGAAACCATCTGGGGGCTGGAGGGGGCAGATGTGTCATGCCCCAAACAGGAGGCTTTCAGACCTCAGCCGCAGACCTCCAGAAGGCTCCGTCACCCCACAATGTCTGCCATGCCCACTGCCAATGCCACGGGCATCCACTGTCACCATGGGTCCAAAATGGGCTGCCCTGGCCTTGCACCCACCTGCCCCTCACAACCAAAGCCATCACCAGGCTGGGCTGGAGACCCGTGTTTGCTCAGGCACGAAAAACGGCACGGAGAATTTCGGAGCGTCTGGGCTGTGTCCGGCACCTGGCCCCGCGCACTCAGTGACTCGCTCCCCACGGCAGCACCGTGCCCGCACGGCCGTGTGCTCAGCCGGGGAGGGCACCGCGGCCAGGCGGGACCAGAGCCGCGGGTAACAGTACGGGTCCGGCCTCGGGCAGCCGCTCTGCCCGCCGGCGTGACGGTGACTGGGCAGCGACACCGAAGGGCAGGGCGCTCCCGCCGCACGCTGCCCGCCTGCCCACCGGCCCGGTGCCCCCGAGGCCAGCCGCTCTGAGACACACACATGCAGGCAGGAGCAGGCTCCGGACCCTGAAGTCGTTCCAGAGGATTAAGGAGCCAGCACCGGGCAGCCATGACTATCATGCGACAAACCCTCTCCTCCCGCAAGCAGCCCCCGGTCGGCATTGCCGACACCGCACATCGGCCGGGCTCCGGCTCCCGCAGCCCCTTCAGCCCCTCGCTGGGTTGCGCGGTGCCGCGCCGGGCTGGGGAGCGCTCGGGGACAAAACCCTCCGCATCCCATCGCTCCAGAGAAAGTGCAACCGGGACCGTCTCGGCGAGGGGGCAGCGGGGGCGCGGCGCGGCCCGCGGGGAGCGCACGTCCCACGGCCCCGGGGCGCTCCTGGCCCGGGCACGGCACCCCGATGCCCGTCTGAGACCCAATCCTGCCGGCCTCCGCCCGGCCCCCGCCTCTGCCAGCCCCGAGCGGGGCCGAGCCCCGCCGCCGCGCCCGTCCCGCCGCTGCCCACCTGGCGCAGAGCGGCGTCCATCGGCGGAGCCCCCGCGGAAGCGCAGCCCCGGCTCTCAGCGCCGCACCGCCGCGGCCGGGCGGGCACGGCTCCCGGCCCCGCGCCGCGCTGGCTCCGCCTCGCCGGCCGCGGGCAGCGGGGAGCGGCCGGGCCGCCCGCTCCGCCCCGCTCCGCCCGCCCGGGAGTGCGGCTGCTGCGGCAGCGGCGGGGCCGTGCCCGTGCCGGAGCGCTCAGGAGCGGGATGAGAGTGGCGAGGAAGAGGAGCGCATCTCGAGAGGAGGGGACTGAGAAGGGCTGGGGTGGGGGAGGCCCGAACGGCCGGTGCCACCCTCGGGCATGCAACGGGAACGGGGACCGCTGCTGTACACAGGCACAGGAGCCAAGTGTGGACCTTTTTAAGGACAACTGATGTCACCCAGAACAGCAAACGTTTCGGGTTTGGGGCTCCTTCAGCAGACCATCATAGCATGATGCAGGGAGAGGGACCATTAACAGGAATCCTGATAGAGCTTCGAAATGATGTCTCTGAGATTTGGAACAGGTGGCAGAGAGCAATACTCTGGGCAAAGTTTCTCCAAATCATAGTTCAAAGATAGAACTCGATCACAGATCAAAGTGTGGCCAGATCATAGTTCACAAGTGCTCTGTGAAGGTGTTTCTTTCCATCAGAATTTATTTCTTTTTTCTGAAAGAAAGGAAATCTAATGGAGGGATGTGGGGGAAGGGTTTTTAAATTTATTATTATATAGTCAATAATGGGAGGGTTTTAAACTGCTTAAAACACAGAGAGGGTTCTGAGGTAGATTGGCAGTATCTTGTTCAACATCTGCCACTGGACAGAGTCACACTGAGGCCACTGCCTTACCTGTGATGACCACCCCCACCACTCTTCCACCTTCACTCTCTGGGCCTTTTGGTAGTTTCCTGGTATATGAGTCACTGTCAATGTGTCCTTCCATTTTGATACCAAGTTATTGAGAGCTATCCTGAGCATGACTATCCAGGCTATTTTGTACTTGTGTTGGATTAGTTTAATCTACACCACTTTCCCTGTCTTATGAAAGCACCATGCAAGATGGCACCAGAAGCCCAACTGCAGTTCTTATCTCACATCTAATACCTCTATGCAGAAGGCCAATCGCTGTGTCAGAGAAGGGGATAGATCTACTCACAGTGTCCTTGACAGTCCTCCTTACAGCCACACATTTGTTGCCAGGCTGTTTCTGCCACAGCCAGCTTTCTCCTCGCAGGAGGAGAGGGGATTCCTGCTGATGCTGTTTCTGCAGACAGTTTTGGCTGCTAAGCTTCTCAGTTCTGGCTGGTCACCAGGGGGCCGTGGAGCTCCTCACAACCACGGGAAAGTTGAGGAGCACATTTCTTTCTCCTCTATCTGCCTGCCAGCCAGCAGTCTCCACCAGCAAGCATCTCTGCCACCAGACATCCCCTCCCAGACTTCTCAGGAGAAACTCTGGCCATGGTTCCTGTCATCCAGGATAGAAGAGAAGGATACAACCTTTCAAAAGGGCAAGGTTTTTAGCGTTTACACTATT